GGCACTAACCGTGGCGATGCCCATGCCTTCAAGCTAGACACACTTCTCAAGCTTGTAGATGTGAAGGGAACAGATGGGAAGACTACTCTGTTACATTTTGTTGTGCAGGAAATCATCAGAGCTGAAGGTTCGCGTCTCTCTGGCATGAATCAGAATCAAACAACCGAGGATAGTCAACAATCTTCTTTCCGGGATGATGTTGAGTTTAGGAAGCTTGGCCTGCAAGTTGTTTCAGGATTGAGTGGGGAGCTCACCAGTGTAAAGAAGGCTGCTGCTATGGATTCAGATGTTCTTAGCAATGAAGTTGCGAAGATTGCTGGTGGAATTACAAAAATAGCAGAAGTAGTAAAATTAATTGAAGGAAGTGCATTGAAGGAGAGTAGCCAGAAATTCTTCGATTCCATGAGTGGGTTCTTGAACAAGGCTGGGGAAGAGATTGTAAGGATTCAAGCTCAAGAGAAAGTTGCATTCTCTATGGTAAAGGAATTAACAGAATATTTCCATGGGAACTCAGTTAGGGAAGAAGCTCATCCCTTCCGAATTTTCACGGTGGTGAGAGATTTTCTTTCTATTCTAGATCAGGTGTGCAAGGTGGTTGGAAAAGTTAATGAAAGAACTATCGTTGGGTCAGCCTGTCAGTTCCCCAGGGTTCCGAATGCAGCCCTTCCACCGGTTTTTCCAGGACTCAGTGCAAAGCAGCATGATGGTTACTCGGATGATGAAACCACAATTTCGACTTAGTGCTTGAGTTTATGTTGTGTTTATGATGTATGGATGGGATGAGCGTCTGGCTGGAGCTTTTGATGAACTGGTTACCTTTTTAGGTTCAGCGCCCTTCCTTGTACTTATATATAAAATATACACACAAGATTTTGGAATTGTTCATCTTGTGTAATATATAGGGGGAATTAGATCAGGAGATAATAAGTTGTAGTAGAACAATATTTTGGTCTGATGTATAAATTCCTTGTACTTATATATATTTTGGTCTTAAGTCTTTTCTTAGAATCTCTTTCAAAGTTTTCCTAGATCTTCCTGGGCCGAAGGGGTAGAGGAAGACTTAAAAAAACTTTGGAAGAGACTCTAAGAAAAGACTTAGAGTACTTAGATCTAACGGAGGACATGACATAGAACCGCGGGCAATGACGTTTTAGGATTCATATAGCCGATCCTATCTAGTGGGAACATGTTTTGTTGTTGTATATTTAAAGCTTCTGGTTCAGTAACTGCAGATGTCTTTTTTTTTATATTCCCAATTTTCTCTCTATTTTTATTTATTTTTAAATACAAAATGTGCAAAAATTATTTTTACAAAAAAGTGACATCACTTGACTAGGATTTTCCACTGACGCTTGCCTTCCCTCCTCCTTGCCAAGTTCACAAGGCAGCAAACTGGGAGTTCTCAGCATCCATACGTTCAATCACCCGCCGTGCTTCCTCCTCAGTAGCAGGAACTACGCTCCGAATCCGGATCCCATCTTTCATGGCTTCAGGAGGGACAGAGAACGTGAAGTAGAATTTGTTTGATACCTGTTCAAACATATAGCAGACATGAAAAGAATTAAATATGTAAGCATCCCAGATCAAAGCATTTGTAAAGCAGGAAAAAGGATTTCATTTTGTATTTCCTACGGAAAGTAATTGTCTTTCAGTTTCACACAACTGAGATGAGATTATCTGCCTGAAGATCATTTTTGACAGACTTTCAAAACCAACCCACTCGTTTTCTTTAACCTTCTCGTTAACGTAAGCTAATGTGCTCACCTCACTGGACCTAAGCTCTGGCTGTGTAACATGAGCAACGACTTCCACGTTTATCAGAGGTTCATCTGGGTTTTCAAGTTCTGTATAGAGAACACAAGACTTCAAACGGAGAAAATTTCCTACATCGACCTGCATCAGGAAAACAACCATCATTAGTGAGCCCCAAACATGTACCCGACATTTGATGAAGGTTCTGTATTCATTTTTTATGGGTAATAGGCTCAAAACAAAGAGAATTAACAATTTGAGTTGGATATAAAATTTTGATGAGTAATAGGCTCAGTTACTTACAGGTCTAACAAAATCAACATGATCAACTTCCAGAAAGTGTGGTGCTACACCAGCAAATGCATACGTTGTTGAGAAGGCAATTTCAAATGCTCTTCGCATCAAAAATCCTCCAAAGATCCGACCATGGATGTTCCTTTGCTGTGGCTGGCAAATAAAGGAGTTCTGGAGGCAAGTATCCCTTATAAGAATGCTATCTCGGTCTGCCAGTGCTGGCATGTCACAGAAAACTCGACCTTCGGCTAACAAGGCGTTGAGTCTGTCTGTGTCCTGGTTTTCTGTATCTGTTTTATGTTCTGCTCTTTTCTTTTTCCTCATTTTATTCCTCTTATCTGCTTCTTCCCAGAGCAATTTTTCTTTCTCAGTCTCCGGCAATATCTGGTTAACCGGAGCTGATTTTCCAGACTTAGAATCACGGGCTACAAAAGTGAAGTTTGCTGTAAGAGCAATGGACTCTGATGGGTATGAGGATCCTGCAAATTAAGTTTCGAATCTATGGTCAGCCCAATGGAAAAAAAAATCGAGATAATTAGCAACAAGGAACTAGAATATTTGGTTAGGTAAACTTCAGTACCCTGCAACGATTGAGTCACTTCCAGCTGAATTTCCATGGATGACTTCCCAACCCATATGACAGCGCCACCTATATTCAAATCAGTGTCGACAAGGATAGGTTTTTTCAAAACCATCTTGTCAACAGAAGCAGTCACCAGTAGCAGAGGCCTTGTTGTGCCATCTTCATTGCAGCAATGCTGGCCAGCAAGAAGTTCAAAAACTAGGGTCATTTTCAAAGAAGTAGCAACCCTCTACATGTTATGGATCCCTACGCAACAGCTAATTCAAGAAACAACCCGTTACGCAGAAGGCTAAATCGAGCTAGCCTCAACGGCCAATACATTTCGAAAAGTTAAGGCATTACAAATTTAATAATTCAGTTAGCGGATCAAGTTGAAACTCGGGTAATAGTTCCGGGACTAATGCTCTAATTTATGCAAGAACAAAAACCAAGTTACCAGCCCTTTGTTTTCCCTACCAATCCGAATTCCAAACCCTACAGAAACCAAACAAATACACACACAGCACAACTGCAGCAAGAATTGAACTACTCTTTTAACTAAAAGACTTAAAATTGATACCTTGAATGCAATGGTTCCAGCAAGAGCATCGAGATCCTCAAGCAACTTCCCCATTCTAATCCCATTCCAGGGGTTCCTGTACTGCTCTCTCAGTTTATAATCAGACGAAAACTTGTACAGAATACTGGTCCGACTCTGCGCCGGAGTCCTCGCCACCAATTCACTCTGCGGAGGCGCGTCACCCGATGCGTCCCCGTACATCCTTGATCTCGCTTCCCACAGAGCATTTGTGACAGGGGAACTGTACATTCCAGGCCATAAACTGATCGGTTTTCGAATAGAAGAGCCTGCATCGATGGGCTGCGAACTGTCGTGGGGCGAAGTCACGGTGGAAACAACCGGGATTGGCTGAGAAGGGTCGGAATTTGCGGTTGAGAAGGACCTGGTGTGAGTGAATGGCGGGGGAATAGGAAAGAAAGGTGGGATCTTGAAGGTGGGTTTTGGCTGTTGTGGTGGATTTGGTATGCGGGTAGTGGGTGATTCAGGCGGGTGTGGTGAGGAAGGATGAAGATTTGGAGTGAGAGTGAAGTAGGAGGCGAGTGATTGGAAGGATGAAGATTTGGATTTGGGGGTGAAGAGGAGGTGGGGAAGTGGTTTTCTGAGTGGTGTCATGGTGGTTCTATCTTCTACGTATGGAGAGAGAGAAAGAGTACGTCATTCACATTCTGGGTGTACTGAAGAGAAACTCAGGAGCAGCAGGAGCAGGAGGAGGAGGAGGATCTGTTCTGTTTAATGGTTGGTTGGGTTCCAGTTTTGTAGCTGAAGGAGCTATTTTCTGCTCCGATCACCGCGGAAAATGAACGTCACGGTGTTGGCGTTAGGGGATTAACTAGTCAACGTCTTGGAAAATGATTGATCCTTTTCCTGGGGATCCGAGATCTGTGATCGGTTCATTGTATATCATACAATAAAAAATATAAATAGTAATTAACGAAAATTAATCATATGATATACGATAAACGATCACGATCATAAGAATTTTTTAAAAAAATGATCATTTTCCATGTTTATCTACGAGTGATAAGGGTTACTTCTTTCAAGAACAGAGTGCTTTTACGTTTTTATTTTTAAAACAAAATATTGAAAAATTTTAAAAACTAAACGTTTTAAAACTTTTCATCAAAACATAATCAAAAACACTTTTAATTGTTTCAAAACACTTTTCACCAGTAGTGTACGAAATGTGAAATTTAGATGCAAACGCAATAAGGTGAAAATGCTGCGATAATCAACTCATCTAATGTACAAGCATTAAGAACGGTGAATTAAAACATAAACCTTTTTTTTTTTGAACAATAAAATATAAAACTTCAATGCACGCACTTTTACTTCTTGAATATAAATCCCTTGCAAGAAAATATATATTCGAGGTACGTTCATTTTGTGATTTTATTCTATTATATATATATATATATATATTTTTTTTTTGAATTCATTTAAATAATAATATTTGTGTCACTTAATATCTGCAATCTAAAAATATTTATTTTTATTTGTAAGTAAGATGTGTCAATCTCAAATCTCGTGAATAACACTAATTAACGTAATTATATTCACATGTGCAATGAGAATCATAATAGGCGTACCGGTAATTGTATAATTAGAAAGAGAAATATCGGCAGGATACAACAACCTATTGACTAATTGGGGTTTGACAAAGGAAAAAAAAACGAAGTAAAAATAACACATGGTGGATGGAGAATAAGGCCCAATCGCGGAGGTTGGAGGTGGGCTTACAAATACACCCCAAGGTCCAAAAATCCCACCCTAATATATACAAAGCTGTAGCAGCGAGCGCTTCCCGGTTATAGTTAATCTCCGTCTCTCTCTCGCGCTCTCTCAAAAGTTAAAAGCACCGGCAGCGGAACCAATAAAGGTCAGTGCTTTGATCCGCCGCGTCTTCTTCTTCATTATTTCACACCATTTTTGTTTCTTCTTCTTTTAGTCTCAGCTGTTATATCAACTACTCGTTTCGTTGTTGTTCTTTATCAGTTTACAGATTTAAGGGATTTTCTGAACTTGCCCTTTTTAGGGTTCTTGAATTTGAGCTTTTGCCTGAATAAAGGTTGAATTTGGGATGCGTATGACGATGGAAATGCAAATTAGGATAAACCCAGTAGCAGCATAAATGTGTTAAGGACCTTTTTTTGTGGAGAATTTATTGATACGTTGGGGTTAAGTCTAGCTCAGTTATTCTTCCTTTTATTTTTTAATCGAAAAAAATGGTTATCCTTTGCTTGTTTGATGAATTTACATGGCGTTGTTTCGAAGACGTATATTTTGTAATCAAAAGGATGATTCTTTAGCACCCTTTTTGGTGTAGAAATGTGTAATTCCAGAAATTAATTTAGATGAGATGCTTGTGTAGACCGGTGGACTTGATGCCCATTACGCTTCTCACGTTAGGTTATAGAGTTGTAAGTTCAATCACAGCAGAATATGTTGTTGCAGAAGGAGGTTGGAAAGGTATTCCTTAGCAAAATTGTTTGTATAATTAGGCGTATACTAGGATCCTTTGGAATATAGCCTTTTGTCCGATGATCTTTCTAATTTTTTATGGCTGTCCTTAGAGTTAGATTGGTTTAGTTAGCTATTATCAGAGCTACAATAGCAATAGGCATCAGTTGAGTGGATTTCTGCACTTCTTGAACATTTCATGCTCTACGGTCTTTGTACTTCAGTTGAAAGCTCTTCACAACTTTTGTTCTTCTCTTTAGTCTTCTTCATAGATAGTGTCCGTGTTAATGTAATTAGAGTTAATCATCTGATAGCAACAAGCTAAAATTCTTTGTTTGGATTGGATTGTGTACGAGTGCGAAGACTGTATTTACTGTGTTTTGCACTGCAATGATCGGTTGATGTATCTCTGTTCGTTTCAGTAGCTCTGCTTTTGCAATTCTTCATGATAGGTACTAGTAATTCATCATGATGGAGATTTCTTGTCTATCTGTGTTGTCTCCTTTAGTGCTTTAATTTGGTTATGATTTGAATTATCACAGGAGGTACAAGAAGTTAAGATTTAGAATAGAGAAAATGAGTGGAGGTGGAGAGAAAGGGACAGGAACCACAAAAACTCCGGCAGATTTCCTCAAGTCAATTCGTGGGCGACCGGTTGTTGTAAAACTGAATTCTGGTGTTGACTATCGAGGTATGTTTCTTTAATTCGATTTTATGTCTATCGATTTTTCTTTTCTCGCCTTTTCACGCCAGTTTGGTTGTATTCAAATCGGGGCCCAACATATTATTGTTAAAGTTTGCAAAGTTATTTTGTGTAGTAAAGATTCAAGCTGCACTGCTGCAGGGATCAGTTTATTTTGATGGCTCAATTTTCTTATGTAGGTATTCTTGCGTGTCTTGATGGGTATATGAATATAGCAATGGAACAAACCGAAGAATATGTCAATGGACAGTTAAAAAATAAGTATGGTGATGCTTTTATTCGCGGAAATAATGGTAATTATCTAAGCATTGTCTTGTTATGTTTCTCTTTAGTGTTGCCTCCATGAGAAATAATTGGATTTGTTTTGTTTGCATTTATGCAGTTCTATACATTAGCACGACGAAGAGGAATGTGGCGGATGGGGCTTAGTTGTTTTATGAAGCCATGTAGATCATCTGCTGTCATGCTTTATGCAATTATGTTGTAATGTAAGCTTACATGGGATGATGAGAAGGAAATAGAACTCGTCGAGTCGGTACATTTTTCAGTATCTATTTTGGAATGAATGAAAGAAATGATCTATTGACTGATGATTAATTGTTGTTCAGATTTAAGTCTGGCTTCTCAGGATGATGATTCTGTAAGTCTTGTTTAACGAAGATAACATCTGTCGAGCGTTTCTTCACAGAATTTCTTAGTGGCACCATTTGGTTTTGTGTTAGTCATGTGTCCTTGTGAATTTGTTGTGAGAGCTAAAAAAGCTTAAAAAATAAGTTGTGCTTTGCTAGTATATGCATAAAGTTGCAAGACTTTCATATCAAGATGAGATGGTCGGCATCCAATTGAAATATCTTGGCTTACAAGAACCGATGCAAGACGCTATTAGTCTTCGAATGCCTATTACATTTATTCAACCCCGAAGGAGAAATAAGATTCTTAATACATTTCCCTTGGTTTACTTTCTTGATACATTTTGCTGTTGAACACACAAGAGGTCATGATAAACGCGAGTGGCGACCTGAGATAGGTCCCAGAGTATCCTTTGCTGCTACCACTTTACTCACCAACAGCTTCCATTTAGCCTCGTCTTTCTTGGTCTGCTGCTGCATTTTTTCCTTCAAATGCCTGAATCCACAAGAGTAGTAGTTAAGATGCCTCTCACCGTCAAACTCGAGTTGTATTATTCACGAAAATGGAAAATATATAAAATGTAACTCCGGCAGTAACAGTATTGATCCGAGGTCATGATACAATACAACATAAAACCTCTCAAAGGGTAAGTACTGTCCAAATGCTAACCAAATATGAACTGAAATTTGAGTTTCTTACCCTGAGAATGTAGAGCAAAGAAGTGCATGTGGAGTTCTCATGCTTACCTACACAAAGGGACCTTGCACAATTCAGGCTCATTGCAAATACGAGAATGCAGTTCAAGAAGCTGCCACATGCGTTTGCAGTGAGCACATCCACCAGGAACCCGGGTTTTACAGCCGGAGAAATGACGAACTAAGGTCTCAAGCCCCTTGCAAGCAGGAAAACCACAGGCAACTTGGCTTCCTTTAAACACCTTGTCACGGGGACCTATAGTTCTACATCCATCCCTACATATGTGGAGAAGGGCTTCCATTGCCTCATACAGTTGCAAGTACACTTTTTTCTCTTCCTTTTTCTTCAACCTCTCTTCTTTCCTCTGGCACAAAAAATTGAATCCAAGATCTAAAAATTAAATGAGAGACCAAATGAATATATCATCTCAAAACCAAACATAAATGTATTATTTTGTTTCTTCCCCCTACAAATACAGAATAAGATAAGATATTTGAAAAAGGAAAGAAAAACTAGCTTACAGAATCTGCTTCAACAACGGACTCTAGCAGTTCTTGTTCAAGTGCAGGACTAACTCGCTTCATCACTTTCCAGCCTTCGGTTGATGATATGGCTTTAAAGTCCTTCACAACCATGCGCACACAAATTAAGGATAGCCGTGGTGCATCACACTTCCTTGCCAATTGAAGCACATCGACCACATTTTCTTTGGTAATCCATCCCTGCTCAAGAATGTATATACAAACTCTTTTCAATGATGGAACTGAGTAAGAGTGTGACAAAACCAACAAATGGAGAACAAATTTCTTCATCTCTTCCTTTTCATAGCTGCATAGGACACAAAAGAAAATATTTTAAGAAATTTAGCCAGATCAAGAAATTCAGATATAAAAGGAGGAGCGTACTGAACTACATAAGTCAAAAATACCAGGATGAGTAAAGAAAACGGATGAATGCGTAGACAGCTTCATAAGGTACCCCAGGAATCTTAATGTATCTCATTCCATTTCTTACTTTTGATTGCTGCAGGAATTTACCTAGCACCGGTGACGCAATTGTCTGCACATTAATAAAAAAAGGAAACTTTTTAGCCAAATCCTTACCTAGAAATTTCATTGAGGATTTGCAAAGGGATGAAATTATGGGGTTAATTCAATTAACTTACCAGAACACTAGAATGAACTGGAATACACGATTCATCCTTGGTGCAAATATAGACATCAGCACCATATGCTTCTTTAAAAAGCTTGTCCCATGTATCAATTGTTTCATTTGGGACATAGCAACTCTGTGAAAGCCTTTTGAAAAGTTTATTTTGTGTATATGCTTTACTAGGGACAGGAGGTGGTTTCGGGATATTATGGCTATAGGACGTAGAAGAGGTTGGGTCTTCCAGAACAGGTAAAATGTCGTCTGGGTTCGCTTCCTCTATATGTATATTGAAAGATCCAGAAAAGGAATCGTGAGTTGAGGATGGCCAGGGTGAGTCCGGAGTAGATGAAGCCATCGGGCTGTTGCGGTTTACCTAAAATAACTATAAACAAAAATGTATGATAGAAGATCTGCACAAAAGAATAAAACGAGCTTAAGAAACACTCTAAATAATTTTTGAATGTTCTAACACAAATTGTACATGCACTAATTACATTAAGATGGAACAGTGCACGGAATATTTCTCCTACAATGCTTATGTAACAAAAGATATTTCGGAAACATATCTATTATAGGTATGGCTTGAATGGTATCTCATGGTTGGATCATATCATGAAAATCCACTTAACAAGTAATGTCAACAACTACTGATGAAAGAATGGAAAGACTTCGATGCCCCATATAGGAAAAGAATAAACTGCATAAGCCGTCTTGACTTGTATGCCAATCACAAAATTGCTTCTGAAATGGAGGAACACATCTTCTTAGAGGTAATTCCAGTTTAGGAAACAAATCTTTCCCGCACGCCTAACTTTGAGATTAGAAATTTCTTATGTGCCAATCTCAAACCGGCGATGCAGGAATGTATATGTTCCCAAAACCAGAATTACCACTAAAACAAATAAGATGTTGGTTGAAAAAAACTTTGCGTATACCTTACATGCTCCAGTTTACAGGAAACAAGGCATCAACGAATCTAGACACAAATGTAAAAGTTTATAACTTCAACCGTCCTGGAGTGGATATATTTCTTACTCTTAAGTATGGAAACACCAATAATTAAAAAGTAAAAGTCTCCCTAAACAGAACATATCTTAGTTAGTAAGCAAAATTAAAATACATCTGATACAGAATCTAATCTTGGTCGTGCAACGGCAACACTGATTAAATTATTACGCACCAAGACACAAGAGCTTGAGGAAAGTGCCGAAAGGCAGATCCCACATGCACCAACTAAGCCTAATCAAATCTTACTTCATCACAGTTTAAAACGATCACATTTATTTATTTATTTATTTTTTTTATTTTTTGCAAAAGCTAACTAAAAGGAGGCGACCCAACTAACAAGTTCCCTACTTTGCGAGTATGGAGATGATAGTCTATCGAATGCACTCTTATCTTGCTTTGTAAAGAGACTGTTCCCCAACTCGAACCCGTGTCCTTCGGTCACAAAAAGCAACTTTTCCGTTGCAAAAGCTAACTATTACATGTGCTTAGTACTATAAAAATTCACAGGAAAAAAAAACAAACGGAGAAGAAAAATGGATTGAATGAACAAACTTTGCCAGCTAATTAACTATTCACGGCTAATTAACTGGATTGTATTAGTCCTAATGCCCTGTTTGGCAATCGAGAAAATTCAAGAAAATCTGAATCATACCTTGTATAAAAAAGCAAATCTTCTCAGAAAAATTCGATACTTGCGCCGATCTTCCCCGCAGTCTTATCACTCATGCTAGATGCACACTCAAATGCCAAACGAAGCTGAAACCAACAAAATAATCAAAATTTGTAATAAATTATCACAGAAAAAGGAATTGAAAGCAAAAATCTACAGAATAAAACGAAACTGTAAAAATTAAATCCAAAATCTACATAAAGTCACTAAAATAGACAGAAAAAGTAGGAAATAAAGAAATCACCTGAGAGGAAGAAGAGAGGTTGGATGATTGGAGGATGTGAGAAATGAGAGGCTCGAATTCAATGAATGAGTAAAGTGTTGGGAGGCGGAAAGAGATGGAGCGCACGGGATTGCAGAGGAAGAAGAAGAAATGAGTCGGTGACAGAGAGCGACGGACGTGTGTCTAAAATACGAGGGAAATCGTTGCTTGCATAAACCAAAAACCATACCCGTCCGTTATTTATTACTCACCTTTTCCTCTCTACTTTTTCTAAATATTTTTTTTATTATTTAACCCATGTTTATTTCTCAAAGGGAAATACAAACCAGCTAGATTACAACAATTACACTATGTTTGGATGAAGAAATTTAAGATTAAAATTTTCAAATGACGGAAATTGAAATGACAAGATTTTATTTTCGAGAATTTGTAAATTTTCTTGTTTGGTTAACCTAAAAGAATAATGAGATTGAATACGAAATTTGTTATTTTTAAACTCTCAATCATAGAAATTGGGAAATGACACATATTTACATGGAATTTGAACTTGGGAATTGGAGGTCCCAAATTCCAAGTTATTTTTCCACACGGAAATTCTAAATTTCTATGTTTATGAATCCAAACAAAAGAATCGGTGCATGTCAATTTATAAATTCTAATTACCAAAATTTCAAGTTTATTTTCCTGTTCCAAACATAGCGTTGTTGAATATAGTAACCTTACATATACATACATATACATATATATATATATATATAGGCTCTTTAAGAGGAGGATCTTCATTTTTTTTCAAAAAATAGGGATTAGTTATGGAACCCACTCCACATCGAACTTCAATGATTTGAACCGTTTATTTTGTAAGTTTCGATTCATAGATCATCTTTGCAAAAATTTAATTTAATCCGAAATCATTTGCCTATTTAATTATCATGATGAAATTTTAATGTTTATTAGAAAACAAAGTATTCATCAATTTTTTTGAACTCAATTAGATGCCTCAAATATTTCTAGTTTGGTTAATATTTTGCAAGCATGGTCTATGACGTACAACTTACAAAATAGATGGTTTATATCGTTAAAGTTCGATGTGGTATAAGTCCCACAACAACAAATTACCATTAAAAAAAAGAAAAAAGAAGGGAATCCCTCCCCTTAAAGTAAACCTTGACATAAAAAGTAGTGCCAAACTATGTGGTTAAACTTGGGACCTGATTCACATAGATAATTTGGTAACTACCGGCAAACGACAATCAATACAATGCAAGGAATAATATAAAAAAATCATGAAAGATAAGATTTACCAGAATGTTCACCATGAAGAAGAATTATTGCCTACTGTGTGCTGCATATTTCTGAAGAATTGTAAATTACAGATAGGATTATTGGGTATTTGGGTGTTGGATTATTAGGATTGTTTCAAAGTCAGCCAATATTCCATTTGAGTTGGACTGAATTGTATGCAAGTAAAGCTATTAAACTGAATGTAAATAGTTAAGTTAAAAACAATATTATTAGTAATAGATCTATTAATAGTGTACCGCTCAATTCCCTCTCTAAAATCTAGAAATGCCAAGTGTCTTTGTTAGATATTTTAGGGAAGGGAACCCCACAATCATTTCCCAATTGCCAAATTGCGGGAGAGTTCGTAATCACTACGATATTATCAACACTAAGAGAGTGGAGAGTAGGTTAAATCTTATAATGTACTAACAACAATATAGTTTAAATTCGTATTTGATGAGAATCAAACTTATGACTTATCATTTATAAATAAAAAATAATACCTCTAGACCGTATTACTAAGTGACGACATAAATCAAACGTTTTGATAAGAGAAGATATGGGACATTGTTGGGATGGATGATCTGATGGGCGGTGGTGGTATTCTTCCCTTGCCCATACGATCATTTCGTGATGGAAATAGAAAAGCAATAAGAGAGTGACACGTGGATGAGTTGAGAGAGAGAGAGAAGTGTTGGACGGCTACGACCTACTAGGAGAGAGAGAGAGAGAGAGAGAGAGAGAGAGAGAGAGAGATGAGTTGAGAGAGAGAGAAGTGTTGGACGGCTACGACCTAGTAGGAGGGAGAGAGAGAGAGAGAGAGAGAGAGAGAGAGAGAGAGAGAGAGAGAGAGAGAGAGAGAGGGAATGAGAGAAAAGGCCAAGGAAAGGGACGGTGATCAATTTGTCGGAAAGGGAAAAGGTAGAATGCCGCATGGGAATGGAAAACGACGGGTGGATTGGTGGCTCCACTTGGTCGTAAGAGATTTTGATCTCTACCAATAGATAAACTTATATGACAGCACATATATTGTCACAATAAAGTTTGAAAGAAAATTAATCCATATTTTTGTATCTTTGGGACGAGAGATCAAGTTTTTGTGACAAATAAGTCTTTTTTTTAAAATAAAATAGATGCTCTGAAAACTAATATATATTATCTCCATGAGATCACCGATTACATATGTCATCATCATGTATTCAAATAGTACACAAATTGTCTATTAAATGGTTATCAAGTAGTTTTACTAGTTGCAAAATAGAATCTCTCCTTCAAACTCTACCCATATGGAGTTTTCTTGTACCAAAAATGGTGGTATACTAGTCTTTAAACTTAAAGCCTGAAAAGTATGGTCATACATGAAACGGGCCACTCAAGCTCGGCCTCCTCAGTAGAATTTTATGGGTTAAATTAACATATCATTCAAACCCAACTCAATAAATTTATAGATCACCCTCCAAACCAGCCCATTAAATTAACGACTCATCTGTTAACACCTAATCACATAAATTTACTGTTTCGCATTAGCAAACTCAAAAACATGAAAAGATGGAAAGAAAAAAAAAATACCGAGAGGGAAAAGCATCGGGTTAGAATTAGACTACTCTCTTTCTCTGATCATCCCCATCCCAGTTTTCGTGGAAACTAAAATTACTGGTATTTCACTGATTTTCCAATCCCACTTGCGAGAACCTTCCTTAGACCAAACATAACCCTAGGCTATTTGTCAAATTTCTCCATTTATTCCCCTCCAAACCCAACCCAACACAACCTAAATATTTGGGCTAAAAGCCAAAAGCCAAACCCAAGCCAATTCTGCCCAAAATAGGATTCGGTGTGGGCCCCACCGAATCAAGTGAAACCCAGCGTTTGTGCGCCAAACCCCCCCCCTCACCCACTCTGCTAGACACACGACCTCTTAGACAACATGGGCCCCACCCACGTGGGCTTGTCAGCCACGTTCCCCAGGCGCCCCAACGGCTAGTTTGATCCAACGGCGTAGATTCAATTTGTTTTTTCTGTTTATATTTATATATTATTGAATCCAATGGCTGAGATCGAATATAATCAAATCTAACGGTAAAAAAAAGATCTAACAGCCCAAATTTAAATCCAACGGCTAAAATAATTTTAAAAAAAATTATTTAACTCAAAATTCATCCAAAAACTCTATAAATACCTATGTATTTGTTCAAACATTCACACCAAACTCAATTTTCTCCTACAATTTTTCCAATTTTTCTTTCTACCATTTCTTCCAATTTCCAAATTTTTCAAGATGACAAGAAAGCATATTAGAGGTCGTAATTGGACTTGTGAGGAAGATGTTGTTTTATGTTTGGTATGAGTTTCTGTTAGCGAAGATGGTGCAGTTGGCACGAATCAAAATAAAAAGGTTTTGTAGGATAAAATCATTGAAAAGTTCCATGAAAACTGCAACGGCGGTGGGAGAGAAGGTGGTGGTGTTTACGATCGGTGGAAGACTATCAACAAAGCATGCACTTTATGGAAGGGAAGCTTGGAGAGAACCACGATAGCTAGATTCAGCATGGTGCTCATATTGCATAAGCGAGTTTGCAAATTCAGCTTATGCGTTGATCATTTCTGCATCCTCATTGTCATGGCTTACTTGGTATTGTGCCATCTGCATTGCCCTGCTACGTCTTCTTCTATCACCCATTGATGAGATATTGAGGACTTTTAGGAAACAAAAACACTTTGAAAGTTGAAAGATTGGTGAATATGTTGTGTGATTGTTTGATATTCAACCTGTGTTTATATAGAGGGTGATTGAAGGTTTCAGTTTCATGTGTGTAGGTTTGTGTTTCATGTGTTTCATGTGTTTTGTATGTATTTTGTTGATGCACAAAATCAGTGAGGACTTTGGTACAACAGAAAGTGTTTGGTTTTGTGACCTTCGGTTGGTTGCTTCGGTCACTAGTAAGGATAAGTATGTAAATGAATAGAGACAGAGAAACAAACACAAGATATACGTGGTTCACCCAGATTGGCTACGTCTACGGAGTAGAGGAGTTCTCATTAATTGTGAAAGGTTTACACAAATACATAGGTTCAAGCTCTCATTTTGTGAGTTCTAATGAATAGTTTAGTACAAAATGGCATTAGAGATTATTGTGGGAGAATGATCCCTATTTATAGAAGAGAGTTTCTAGTTTTGTTCTGACATTGACATGTGTTGTGTTGTGATTGGCTTCTGATGTTGACACGTGTCGCGCTGTGATTAGCTTCTGATGTCAACACGTGTCGCATTATGATTGGCCTCCTGGTTAAAGGGAAACTCTTCTGGGTCCTTGACGGTAACGTTGACCGGTGCTTAGTCGTTTTTAGAGAGCAACGCCGCCAGCTGAGCAACCGTCTCGCCGCGAGCATCACTCCTAACCCATCACTTATGTATTGAGGAGCGATCCCTTATTCTATAAAAGGGACTCCCTCACCACCATTAGAGAGCATCACTGCCTACTGAGCAACCGCCTCGCCGCGAGTATCAACTCTAGCCTATCATTTATGTATTGAGGAATGAGCCCTTATTCTATAAAAGGGACTCCCTCACCATCATTAGAGAGCATCAACTCTAGCCCATCATTCATGTATTGAGGAGCGAGCCCTTATTCTATAAAAGGGACTCCTTCACCTTCAAACGCCGCAAGCCGAGCCAACCAAGGCAATATAAGCCACGAGCCGAGCAGCATCGCAGCGTGTGCTACTTCTAGTTGAGCATCATTTCAGATTGAGCACCGCCTCATATCGAGCATCAGTTCAAGACAACATCTAGTTACTTCGGCCCACACATGGACTGAATTTCAAGTCTCCAGCCAAAAGACTCTCTTGACTGAAGACTTGGGGGACTACTGTTATACCATATTTAGGGCATCGTATTTAGACCTCGTATAAATATTCAGAGGACGTAAATGTAATTATGTGATAAAGGAAGGGGCAAATATGTAATAAGTGAGGAGTCCTTATTCTATAAAATGACCCATCACCTTCACAATTAGAAGAGACCAATTCCTATGCCTGAGATCCCCTCTCTCACCCTCTCAACGCTCTCACTCTCAGAGCTCTCTCTCCCTCAAATAAATACAATCAGTGTGGACGTAGCCCAAACCTTGGGGTGAACCACGATACATCTTATGTTATTTACATTTCATGCAGATTCACGGTCGGATTTACGTTGTTCCACGACCTCCGGTTTTGTGCATCAACATATTTTACATGTGTCATGTATTTCACATGTGTTTTGTGTGTGCTTCATCTCTATAATGCGTTTTGTATGTGTTTCGTGTGTGTGTCATGTGTTTCACATGTGTTATGTGTGTGCTTCATCTCTATCATGTGTTTTGTATGTGCTTCACATGTGTTATGTGTGTCTTGTGTGTTTTATGTATTTTGTGTTTATACATCTCTATCATGATTTTCATATTCTTTCATAGTGTTTCATAAATCGATTTAGTGATTTTTTCATATTTATCGGAATTTAAATATTTAAATATTAAAATATTCATAAAATTAATGTACGATAGTCCACATAATTTTAAAAAAAAATTAATTTAAGAAAAAAATTAGTCTAAGTTTATTCTTTAATAATTTGGGGCTAAAATTTTAGGTCAGAATAGTTGGAGCAGAAAAGCTGTTTCTAGGCTAAAAACTAAATTTTTCGGGTTAAAAATTTTGGCTTTTAACCCAAGGATTGGAGATAATCTTATGCTTATAGAGCCTTTTGCTTTTGGTTAATTGGCCCCCTCCTCCCCTGCATTGTTCCTACAGATCAATCCAGAATTTTCTAGCAAAAGAAAACGAAAAACAAAAAAAACATGTGTGGTGGTGGTGGTGGTGGTTGGAGTTCGGTGAGGAGACGAAGAAGAAGGGGTAGTGGATGGTAAGGTGTGGTGGCGGTCACCAGAGTTGCGTGAGGGTTTTGGGTGGCTGCTTTAGGTTCTCAGTCTTTTATCACGTACCAAATAATTAGAAGAGAATCAAGAGATAGACCCACAACCTTTTTCGCCAAGATGAGTACAAATTTACCATTTAAGAAATGGACGAAGTTGCATTTTAATTGGCAACTAAGAGGAAACAATGCAACTTGCATTAGTTTTCAAATAGTATGGGTACCAAGTTTCGATGGTCAATATTCGAAAGCAACGTGCATGGACTAGATTCATGGTCATATTTTGATTGAATAATATAATATCATGCAAAAATAAATTTATGCATAATATTTTATTATTAAACTGAAACGTCGTGAAAAAAATAAACACGTCTATCTTAGTAACTCCCGCTTAATGGGTTGTAAGGTAGAACATATTTCAGATTTAATGAATCACGAGGCCTAATTTGTCAAGTCCACGTTATGCATGAACCACAAGTCCTTGCATTTTCTAACTATTGAATCTTGATTCCTCATATAGAAAATAGGGTAAATTACACAAATCACCTTAATTATGAGCCGAATTATAATTTCATATTTCATCTTTTAAACATTGCAATATTATATCTCAACTTATAAATTCGTTGCAACGTCAGATATCCGTTAAATTTTCTGTCAATTTAACTGTTAAATAATGAAATGACAAAAACGGAGCCCACTCATTCCTCAACTGAAATAAAAAAATAATTAATTATTAATTTTTATTTAACAATATTATTTAAAAAAAAACTCTCTTCCTCACTCTCTCTGCTCTCACTTGTTTTACTCTCTCACGCTTTCTGCTCTCACTTGCAGAGAAACAATGGCAGCCATGGCCGAGTCTCCCGACTCATCCTCGATAACCTTGACCTCCGCAGCCTTGGATTCGTCTTTCCAGATCTTCGCCTTGCCGCAGTCACCACCCCCAATGTTCCCATCCCAAAATCATCACCTCATTCTTTCCCTCCTACTCTCTCTACTCGAATTCCAAACCCCTCATCCACACCAAAACCTCCCGCCCCCACCGCCACAACCTTCACCAAGTCATCTGCCCACGGACTTGGAGAGAGAAAGGGGCATCGCCATCAAGCTCCAAATTGCCGAATATGGTTGATTCAAAGAGTCGGATTTGGGCTGATTTAAAAAAGTCTAGTCTGAGCTTCGTAAAAAAGGGGTCTGGGCATACCATTAAGCACCCGATTCGTTGAACACGACCCTACAAACAGGGTTGATTCAAAGAAATCGGGTCTGGCCTTCGTAAAAAAAGGGGTTCGAGCGGTGCAGGTAGGTGGACGATATGGAAATGCTAACGAGTGTAGAATCTACACTGTAGATGCAGGCGATATTGCAGGTTTGTGGTTAGTTAGTTGCAAGCGGGATACAGGTGCGGCGTGGATGGTTGGCAGGTGGAGATGCGGGTTATGGTTGATTGTTGCTGTTTTTGCGGGAATTGAAGTAGCCCAGGAAGAAGGAAAGAAAGACGAAAAAAGGAGACGAGTGAGAGTAGAGAGAGTGGGTCAGTGAGGAAGAGAGTTTATTTTATTTTATTTTTTTTAATTGTTAAATGAAAAATTAATTAATTAAATTTTATTTCAGTTATGAACAGAGTGGGCCCTGCTCCTAACACGTTATCATTTAACAGCCAAATTGATAGAAAATTTAACGAAGAACGTCTGACATTGCAACAAATTTATGAGTTGAAATATGACATTGCAATGTTTAATGTTTAAAACATGAGGTATGAGATAAAGGATTGGGGTTTTTGACATTGCCAAATGGAATATGTCTAACTTGCATTAACTCATGCAATCAAGAAACGAATAAAATAGGGCTAATTAAGAATGATAATTGCTTCTACTTAATAAGGACTGGGGTTTTTAATATCAATCCAATATGTATGTATATATACATGTTCTTGTTCTCTCCCCAGTACTAGCTAGTTCCCATTGCATGAGCTGCTCGACACTGATCGATCTTATTTACCTACAAGAGAAGTTTTTTAGTGTGTCAGGAATACAGTTTAGTAAGACGATTTTTCATAATTTTTTTTTAAAGTTTCCAACCAGTTGTATCATTATATTTAGTATACCGAGCCGAATTTTCTGCATCTCTCTACTTACTGAGCATGTGCTGGACTCACAAATCGATGTGTAGTGTACGCAAGTGATATATATAAAAAATAGATAAAGGTGGTTGAGGGTTTCAACCTAACAGTCGTCGTATTACAAGCGATTGCGATTTGAACCTACTCAAAATTTATGCATATATGTACATATCGTTTATCAACATGATCTCTAGCTAGCTGGCTACGGTAGCTACGGTATGCAATACGTGCGTGCGTTTGGTTGTTGATGATAAACTTGTCGTTGAGAATATCAAATCCACTCGAGAAAGAAAAAGACCTTGTACTTATAAATAGTTGAGTTACTTCTTTTATTGTGTATGCTAGGCTACTTTTTTTATTGTGTATGCGCTCACCTCTAGCTATATAAACATTGCTTACATTGTCCAAATTATTAGAGAGAGAGTTGCTTACATTGTCCAAAATATTAGAGAGAGAGAGAAAGAGAGAGAGAGAGAGAGAGAGAGAGAGAGAGAGAGAGAGAGAGAGAGAGAGAGAGAGAGAGAGATTTAGAGAGAGAATGGAAGATAATAAAGGTTACAGAGCTCACGTGTTGGTAGTTCCTTATCCTGCTCAAGGTCATATAAACCCATTTCTCCAGTTCTCCAAGCGCGTTGCCTCCAAGGGCATCAAAGTGACTCTAGCCAACACCATCTTCATCGCCAACTCTTTGCAGCCCAAATCATCCGGCTCCGTCCACTTCGACACCATCTCCGATGGCTACGATGAAGGCGGATTTGCCCGAGCTGAGAGCATCGACGAATATCTATCCCGGATGGAAGCCGTGGGATCCAAAACCCTAGCCGAGCTCATTACAAAGCATCAAAACTCACCCCACCCTATAAATTGCATTGTTTACGATCCCTTTTTACCTTGGGCTTTGGAAGTAGCCAAACAATTTGGTGTACTTGCCGGTGCCTTTTTTACTCAAACATGCACGGTCAATTACATTTACTATCTCCAGCATCGTGGGAAACTGACGGTTTCTTCTATCCCGGGCTTGCATGTGCTCGAGCCCCAAGACTTGCCGTCCTTCATTTCTGTCCCGGGCTCCTATCCCGCTTACTTTGAGATGGTGTTGAACCAGTTTTTAAACACCCACAAAGCTGATTTCATTTTTGCCAATACCTTCTATAAGTTAGAGCAAGAGGTACGTACGTCTATGTTTAATTAACTAATTATATTAGTAAATATATAATTGAGTTTCTTGGTTTTGGTAAATCCAAATGGAGTGGAATATTCTTAACTAGCTAGATTATCGTTGTATTAAATATTAATTGAGTAATGTTATTTAGATGGAAACACTTGCTCATGCATATGAGTTCTATGCAGTTGTGGTTTTGTGCATGTGCAAAAGGTGCCCTTGCACACAAGGCCTTCAATTTTAAAGGCCTAAAAAGATATCTTCTACGCGTGTACCAACTTGATTTGTGGTAAAAAAAAAAAATTCATCTTTGAGATTTTTTTTTAGGTTCTGCATGCAAATAAAAGAAATATGGGTTCCATATGTAGGTAATTAATTACATGATTCAAACAATATTTTTTTTTTTCATACGAGTTATGTCTATTATTTTTTTTAATATGGTAAATTAATTTATATGCGTTACTATTATTATTATGATACAAGAAAGGTAAAATTAATATCCATATGGATTTAATCGCTCATCATAATTAGGATGAGTAATAACATATATTGACAAAATTAGAATTTTATGGCATAAGTTGTAAATGTGTTGTAATAACTAATTATATATTTTTTCCATGTGGCAGGCTATTTGAAATTGGAGTTTTATTTGAATTTTTAAAATTAAGTGGGTTTTTATTTGAAAAATAAGAATTTAAAGAGTTCATATCTAAAGAATCCATTGATTAACGAATATGCAATAATTACGCAAGTACAGGTGGTGGACTCCATGTCAAAAGATTGTTCAAATTTGTTGACAATAGGGCCGACAGTCCCATCTACTTACTTGGACAACAGCATCAAAGACGACAAGGATTACGGGCTTCATCTTTTCAAGTCCGACTCGACCTGCACCGACTGGCTCAACACCAAGCCAGCAGGCTCGGTTGTATACGTGGCGTTTGGTAGCATGGCCAATCTTAGTGACAAGCAGATGGAGGAGCTTGCATTTGGGCTGAAGGAAAGCGGCGTCCACTTCTTGTGGGTGGTTAGGGCTTCGGAGGAGGCAAAGCTTCCCCCCAAGTTTGTCCAAGAGACAAGTAACGGCGGTAAAGGGTTAGTGGTAAAATGGAGCCCTCAGTTGGAGGTGCTGTCGCATGCGGGGGTGGGGTGTTTTTTCACACACGGCGGGTGGAATTCGACGATCGAGGCATTAAGCTTGGGAGTGCCAATGATTGCAATGCCGCAGTGGACCGACCAGCCCACTAATTCCAAGTTAGTTGAGGCTGTTTGGAAGGTTGGTGTTAGAGTGAAGGTTGATGAGAACGCTAATGGGATTGTAGGAAGAGATGAGATTAAGCGCTGCATTAGGAAAGTGATGGGAGATGACAAGGATGGAAATGAAATGAAAAAGAATGCCAAGAAATGGAGGGAGTTGGCGATCGAGGCTGTGAGTGACGGTGGCACTTCGGATAACAACATCCAACAATTCGTGTCCAAATTGACATCCACAGCTTAATTATTATTTAGTATTGAATCATCGTTGTTGCATTCCATTGTTTATTTGTATTCTTCTCATATGCATAAAAGTGAGAATTTTTATGTTTTATTTGTTCGACGAGTTTAGCGTAGATTTATTGTGTAGTTTAATTTAATCCAAAATTTGTTGTAGAAAAAATAAAAGATGTTGTTGCAAGCATTTCAGTCATTATATATGAATAAGTTTTCTGAAGAATAAGGGTTGTGGTGAAGAAAAATACGACGCCGCCTCTGTTCAACTCTTTTGTTATGTGAGAATTACATATAACTAATTACTTATTTATTCCAACTGAATGCCTTATTAACATTCACGTGTACACAAAATAAAAAATGTGACTAATCTCAGTAAACTTGTTTTTTTTTTTTTCATTTAACATTAGGGTACGTGACAAAATTAAATCTCTATTAGTGTGCTATCCAAGTACAATTTTGCTTTTAATTTGCATGTGTTTAGTATTTAAAATATCAATATAGCTAGATGGAAATATCAATATGTAAATTTATGAAAATATTGATAGATACTTCGTATCGGTTGCCTTCGACAAAAGTTATGAAAATTTGCAATGGAGATATATCAATTCATCTAGATTTAGTCGGAATTAAAGAAAATTTTCTGTAAAAATTCATCAAAAGTTTGATATCTGCAATGAATTCAGGTAAAATGTATGTACATTGATTATTCTGTATTCTGATGATATAGGATGAAGTTTGCATTTCACCTCCTCCACTTTTCCGTATCAATCTTTGATTTTTAAGAGATTTCAACAAGAATATGGAGAATTTGTTAAAGTATTATAAATAGTGCATGTGATTGGCCCAGCTGGGGTTTCAACTAATCATCAGCGGCAGCGGCATGAGAGGAGATTGGTTGGTTGGGTTGAGCTGATGGAAAGGGGTAAGTGCCGGGTGAAGTGAGAATTAGGCATGCATGCATGCTTGGCCACCATGGGAATATGACTTGACTTCGACCATATATGTTTTCCTTGCAGAGATATCTCCCTACAGTTAATGCAATCCGCAGAAAAGTAAGTTGTTTTGAATGGACTTGTAAGCACTACTCACTTGATTACCTCGTCACCTCCAACCATCGCAATCGCGTTATCATTCTCTCTGCAAAGATTTCAACGACTTTAAGCCTTGTAGGGTACGTTATATATATATATATAGAGTATTATTAGGGGCACTAAATATGTAAACAAAACTAGTAAACTAACGTTTATCAACGTTTAAGTAGTAGTTCAATAGCCACTCGATATTACGATCTGATGATATTCATCTTCACTTGTAAATGAGAGGTTTTAGGTTCGAATCTAGTTGACGGTGAATTTGATACCAAATTAGGTTGCACATTGTGTGACTTAGCCGAACTTCATCTCTCCTTAGTATAAAATATATCGTTGTACTAAAAAAAAAACAGTAGTAGTCTAATCATCAACTTTCATATAGTTTAATTTTAAAATTTTTATCTATAAATTTAGTCTTTCTAACATTACTTATATATAATATATATGCACACACATACCAAGTGAGTGGACGTGGTTGGTTAAATCCACTCCACACCTCTACGGATGCGGATTCTCTCCCCTCTTTTTTACCCTCTCCTCCCTCCCCTTCTCTCACAGTTTTTTTTGTTTTTTTCTTCTTTTTCTATTTATTTATTTATTATTTTTTTTTTTTTTTTGTGTTCTTTGCAAAGATGAAAATTTGAGTGTTCAAACAAGAGGATAGAAAATCCTTGTCCACACTGCACAATCCACAATTTTTTTTTCAATTTTATTCGATACCCTCACGTTAACTCGTGTGCAATTACCTTCATTTCATTCTTACCGGTAGTGTGTACATACAAAAAATAAAAACACGGCCGACGGTGTGCGAATAATATGAAGTACGTAGGTATATGATGTAGTGATGATGTAGGGTTTGGCTGTTGCCAAATTGAATACATCAAGTCAAAGCCTCATATCTTGTGTCAGTGATTGGTAAGACAACGGAATTAGGAATTCTTTCTAGGTAAGTCTACTTTAACGATTTCGCAACGAATTTAGCACAAGTTGATTTTTAAATTTTAATGGACAAAGTAAGATCAAAGTTAAATTACAGGAGACATGGTTAAAAATAAGTCTTTGACTAATTTGGATTTTATTGGTTCGGATACGTAAAGCGAAAAAGAGTAAGCCGCATGATCCAGAGATTAAGTTTTCTCCCTTACCCCTTCGGTTGTAATTCCCTTCATCATCAATATATATGTTAAGTCAAAAACATCTCTCTCTCTCTCTCTCTCTCTCTCTCTCTCTCTCTCATGTCTTTCGCTTAACCAACAGAAGATTCAAAAGCACTTCTCTTCTGTACGTATGTAAAACCAAACCTATAGGATTGGATTGGATAGGATATGATAGGGCAGGACAGGACAAGACATAAGCTAACCAAATCCACTGTTGGCCAATAACTACAGCCATTAAGAATCTGATTCAGGCATAATCAACCTCTCATGACAAAAGTAGAGTAGGGATATGCAATTATGCATGCTACCATCTTACTCTATACTCTCTTCTCCTCCTCCTCCTCCTCCTCCTCTGCTGAGTTTGCATCTTCCGACCGACTGCCCAATCTCACAATGTCTTCCACAAGAATTTTCCCATCTGCCACAACACACCAAAAACAATCATCAAAATCAGGAATCAAATCAATGCATACGGAGACCAATGTTAATTAATCGGATGCATTAACACAAGCAGTGGATATTCAGGAGAACAGATGAGCCTAGCACAAGAACCAACACAAATTCACCCACCTTTATCTTTGGAAAGGTTGCCTATCAGTTCTTGGACACCCTCCTTGCCTAAAGTATTCTTCAAGTAGTTCGCAGCGGCTGCAACCTCCTCGGGAGTTACTTTCCCATCAAAATCCCTGCACACACCATTGAAAATATTAACTGCAAGAAGAAAATAAATGCCAATACCATCCTCGAAGCTGTAAAGTGTTTATCACTCAAAACGAGTTTAAAATTAACTGCATCAGCTCTTAAACTTATGGTAGCTAGTAAATTCAAAGGTTACCCCGTCAACACTTAAAATTTAAACTCACCAGCCACCATATGTTTAGACTCATCCTATTTCTGACTATCCAGCCCATTATCATATGCACATCGCAACCAGTAGGGAGTATCATTTCAAAAAGAATGGGAAGATATTCTTATTTAAGAAGGGAGGGAAGATGTGAAAATACATGCTAAATAATAACACAACATAGGAAGCAAGATTTAAAATCAACAAATCACCTGTCAAGTAACCGCCAGCGATCACCTATTTGAGCATCTACATCATCAATTTCCTTTTCAAGTTTGTGAAGCATTGAATCGACCTGAAATACACAAAATAAATGATGATCCATCAAGTAAACAATGTTAAGCATGTTATAAGTAGATAACTTGGAATTGAATATCTAACCTTGTCTACGAGGGCTGATGAAACCCCCCCATCATCACCTTCAGCCTCGGCATTACTGTCATTTTCATCTCGAGCTGCTTTATATGCTTTTAAGGCATCCTTTTCACCATCTGTACCCTCTTTATCCACCACACTATTGTAAAGTTCAATCTGGAAAGATCAAAGAAATCAACTTAAGCAAAGTATCCTTCTGAATTGAACATTATATGATAGTGCATGCATATAATCTATAGACAGAAAGCTCATAATTAAATGCCATTAAAAGTCATCAATCTGCACATTCTTCAAACAAAAAGGGACAAAAGCAACAAGCAGAAACATAGAAATGACTCAGAACTGGAGGCAATACTTATGATGTACCGTCCTGATTAACTGCGAGCAGTTATCCCTCCAAATGTGTCTGCCGCATATACTGAGCAAGGGAACACAAGCATGCATACCCAAAGATAAATGCTTTCATCTTAAAAGATACCCAATACAAAATAAGAGCAATTAAATGTTTTAAATTACCTCCTTATTGACAAGCCTCAGGAACTCTTCACGCTCTCTACTCACAGACTATTATTCAACAAACAAAAAATAAGAAACTTGTTAAGCTTACAGTGTGGATGATAGTGCTTGAAATTTTGGTAGAGAAAAATGAAAAGAGAACACTCAACAATATAAATATTGAGAGTTATTCAGTCCAGTCCTTACAGATGCAGAAGCCAAAACAGCCAATGCACGACTTATTTCACAGAGCTTCTCTTGCTTTTCTAGTGTCCTAGCCCTGGCTTGGTCTTGTGCTTCTTTGGCTGTTGGAATAATCATCTCTTTCAATGCCTTATCCTCTTCTTTGGCCTGAGATTCCTTCATTCTGGCTAGCTCTTCCTCCTCTTTCTCTTCCTCCTCCTGTCACATAATAGTTCAGAAAGCCACTCAGTACAAAAAAGGCTCAACAAATTAGAGACAGAAGTGAACTGTTACATCTTAAATTTCTTTCTTCAACTAAAGTTTTCTAGGCCAGATGATAGTCATAACATTTTATTTCAGGAGTTTTTCTTCTGCTTATAATTTGTGTTTTTACTTTTTGGTTGCTCGTCCCTTTCTTGGTTCCACACAACTCCAAACCAAATGCATCAAAACTGGCTTATAAAAATATGCGTGCACGCACGCACACATATGTTTAGTTCTGGTTACTAAAACACCAGTAGCTATTTATAAGACCGTCAAAATAAAAACCAAACTATTTCAACCTTGATCATTTCTTCCTGCATCTCAAGGAACTCCAATTTCCTTCTCCTTTCAGATACAGAGTCTTCAGAGGGCAATGATGTAACACCAACAGTATCCACCACTTCATCTGGCAGAGAAGACAGTGTAGCTCGAACAGCATCAGCTGGCATCAACCTTCCAGACACAATGAAGGCCCTGCATTACGCACATCAAACAACATTGAAGTTAAACTGGCTCCACTATCAAGATATGCATGAACTGTAGGGATTCTGAATGTAAAAGCAATAATCAAGAATTAAACAAAACCAAAGAGTTTGGTGTGCATTTTGTGGAGCCTAAGGATACCTGGAAAGGATCAAAAGTGAAGATGGCATTGAGTGATTGAGAGACAAATCCAACCAATCACGAAGCTACATGAAGACGTTAATGAATAAATGAGCACCGAGATCAGCTTTGATATATCATAAATCACCAAGCTACATTAACTACTTATGAAACTGAAAAATATAATTCAGACTCTGAGATTCTGAAAAAGGTAATTGAAGTTTCAATAGTATACCTGCTGGCGCATATCTTCCACAGAACGCAAACCAAGCATTCCGCGCTCCCTGCATTCCTCGCGCAGCTCATCTTCTGTAAGGGATTCCACACCTTCTTCTTGAATTAACTTATCATCAGCCTTAATCCTGACCAAAAAAAAAATGTTAATAAACATTAAAACAATACTCAACTTAACTCATGTTTTGGTTTATATGTAGCTAATTAAAATACCAATTAGGGATAGCAGCATTTTCGAGAAGTTCTTTATCTTTGTAGTAAGAAATTCTTTGATCAAATTCTCTAAGAAGATAGTATATGCTCTTCTTGAAAAGAAGAATTTGTATTTCTAATGATTTACTAAAGATTTCATTGATGAAATACGAAAAAACATATACAAAACAGATGACCAAGCTTGAACCAAGACCTAATCGAGCAGAGCCTAGCATGAGGAGCCTAATAAATAGCTCTAATTTAATATTCACTTCACCGTTCTTGTTTCTAAAGGAGGCTACAACAAAACAAATGTACATCTAATATGCTAAGATATGCATCTCACCGCTGGAGTCTTTTCCGGAGCATATATCGCAAATATGCATCTGTTCCATAAGGGCTGATGTTCATATATTTGCACATACTGACTAACCGAGGTCTGCATGCAACAAAAAACAGTCACTAACTTCACTCACAAATGCATCCCCATCACATTCAAACACAAAAACCTTGAGAAATCATGTTAAAAGATAACCTGCTGATGTTATCTAGGGTAAGTTCATCATTAAACAACTTGGCGAACCCCAAGATCTCCTCGTTAGAAACACGTGCACCAGTTCTAACCTACACTTAGAAATAGACAGGTTTGCATAAAAGAAATATTGGAGAAAGAAACATGGAAAGTGGACCATAGGAAACGAAAGCCTCACCTTGTTTAAAAATTCATCTAGATCTTCTGCAGTTTGCTTAGTTTCTCCACTCCTTGAGTTTTGAACTTCCTTTGCCATTTCTTTGGCCGTGTCTTGAAGGAACTTAGCGTATTCTATTCTTGCCTTTAGCCTCCTTTTCAATGCTTCCTACACATTCATAAAAAAGTTGAAATCCAACATTCTACAACACAAGGGGAGAAAACAAAGCCCCTAAGCATATGTGAATACTTAAGATTGTTTTAAAAACATACTATATGTGAGTACCAAACAAACTATGTGTACATGTATTGAAAACACAAGTTCGTGGGAGAATGGACATGCAGAGACATGATGTGGATCATGCAGGCACGTATTTAAGCAAACTCTTGAACTAAAGAAGATATCTCAAGTGGGAGAAACGATATATATATGTATCTCTAAAATGCGAGTCCTAGGAACAATGACGCAGATGCAGAATCCAAGCTAAATCCACTAGGAAATATACAATCTCTACCTCTTCCTTCAATTTGTCTTGAAAAGTTGATGGCAGCATGTTGGGAAACAATTTGAGGAATACTGGCAGCAAAAATTCCATGAAAGGAACAATGATGAAAACCGACAAGGGAACTAGCCTAAAGATATCAGCCGTTGTGCGGGTGAGCTGTTGTCTCTCCCTTCTAGAGAGAGTCTTGCCGCCAGCAAGCTTTAGCAGCAACCTCGAACAAATCCTTATATCGGCACCCAGTAGCTTAATACCCAACCAATAATGCTGCAACGTGGATATAAATTCCTTCTTCCAGTGAACAAGTTTCTTGGCCCAGTCTTCCCTGCATAACCAAACAAGCACGAAAACCAGCATGTGGGAAGATGAAATCGTCTTTGAATAAAAGATGAAATCGTTTTTGATTAAAAGGTGAAATTTTGTTGATTAAAAGTGCTAAGAAATGGGAGGACGTGGGCGTAGCCACACATTCTAGAGCGGATGTTCTTCAGATATGCAGCCCACTCGAACCCCATCCCGCAGTTTAGATTAGTTTAAAATAGAATATCGCTTGTATAAAAAATAAAGACAAAGCTGATGAATGGAAAATGAAATAAATATAACCTATCTATTCTAAGCTAACCTGCTCATGGAAGCTACAGCTTTCAAAGCAGGGCCAATTCCCAGGATGGTGGCCCAAACTTTCTGCAACATGGGTTTGACAGCCTTGTACTTCTGAGATTCTTGCAACTTCTTCGCCTTGGCGGCTTTTGCAGTGCTCAATCCCTGAACGGCTTGATCGCAGTCCTCCGGAGATGCCTCCTTTCTTTTCTTGGCAGCCAAACGCTCGTTCTCCTCGTCATCACTGGGACTGCCCCGCTCAGTCGCCTTAACGGGCGTCGCCGCCGCTGCAGCTGTAGACGCATTTCGAATCGCCTGCGACATCCGCCGATGATGTATCCCCATCGGCGAGATATAGACATACCCCAATCGCCGGAACTCGTCCTTTGCGATGGAAACTTTATCATCATCGTCGTTGTTGCTGCTGCTCTTAAGCGTGAGGATACTGCTGAAACCCTTGGACTCCAATTTCTGAGCGCCATGGGAATGCCCGAGCCACTGGAATCCAGGGCTGGCGCGAGACGACGCCGTTACATAGTCGGTGAGGATTCTGTTCCTCCTGAAGATCGCTCTGGAAGCCATTTCTCAATTTCTGCAGTTTCGGATCTCACACATAATCAATTGCAGCACACAACTGAAACAATGTCGTCTCGAGGTTTCTAGAAACCACTCGATTGAAATGAAATTGAAACTATTTACCAAGAAATGCGAATCAAGGAAGCCAAATGAAAACCTCAAACCCTGAAATCCTCCCCTTTGAATTTTAGGGTTTAAGGTTTATATATTTATCAATAATAAACAATTTTTTAGAGCGACGAAATTGACCTTTCCAACCCGAATTATTATTCTTTAGGAATATCCCGGAAAATAAAAAAACAAAAGAAAAGTACGACTTGTTATCCAAGAATATGACGCCGTCGAAAAACACGATGCATATTTAATTATTATTTTTAATAATATTTCATTTCAAGAAGGGTAGTTAAAAATAAGTCTAAATTTAGTGGATTAATTGTATGGTTTTTGTGTTAGAACAATATTTTTTGCGATTGATCAAGAGGATACCAAGGAAAACTAGTGAAGCATGTGAAGGTATATGCTCAAAGATTGTTAATATATGCTGAATTCTCATTCAAATTGATAGATCTTTGGCAATAAACAAGACAAGAGGTAGTTAAAAGGAATATATATATATATCATGGAGAATTCTTTGATTGCAATACATCCGTGATAAGAAACTACAAAAAAACGGATTTGTCAAATTTGCGACGAAATTCTGCCTAGGTTCTTGTGATGCAGAGATTGATGCGGAGACAGAGGTTGATGCGGAAACAAGCTGCGAAAAACACCTGCAAACTCAAAATGTGTAGAAGCTCATTTCTTCTTCCCGCCCTTGGCAGCTTCGCCAGCCTTAGTCGGCACAAAACAATGAAAATGTTGAGAAAATCACAAAATTGTTAAGGCACTGAAAACATAACAAGCTTCAGAAAAGTAAAATCCACCAACAATTTCAGGTTCAAGAGAACAAAAAAAAGCACCTTCTTTACTCCGCGGATCTTCTTGGCTCCGTTCTTCCTTTCCTTGAGTTGTTTCCTTGACTTCTCCACCTTTGTATCCAGTCCATTCTGCACAAGTAGCCATGGTTGAGCGAGTGAGAGAGAGTGAGAGAGATTGAGACTGTCCGCGTGTGTAGATATAAGGGATTCAAGAGACAAACCCCCAAGGACGTCCATTTCAAGCCAAACCAAAAACACATGCAACAACTAAAAGATACCCTATTCACCAAAATCATAGCATTCAAAACCTACTAAAAGACACCTATTAACTTGGGAAGGATAGCAAACCATACTTCCATAGCATATAAAACCATTACATTCCAGAAGCAGAAGCATCGATAAATCATATTATTCAAATTCTATGAACTCTTCCTGTGGAAGGTGATAGATTAGAGGATTGAAATAAACTAATCAACATAATTTAAAACAGATGCACCTCTGTTAATAACCCTATCTGTTAATAACCCTATGTTCTACAGTTTATGAATAGCCTGAAAGGGCCTTTTTATCAAACCCATACGATAAGAAGGAATCCAATTAATGCACATTTGAATGACGAGAAATAAAGTGATGTCGAACCATAAAGAACTAAAATTTACATGCAATGTTCTAGATAAAAAGAGGGTAAAGTTACCCTGATCAGCCTGTACTTGGGCTCGTACTTCTTTGCATTCTCAACTGATTCATAAATCAAACCGAAACCAGTGGATTTCTCCCCCTCCAAAATGGGTGCGGAACTTGAAAACAAAGATGGCATTTGGATCCCTCACTTCATACAACCTTGCCAGTTTCTCCTTCAACTCTGCCTACATTACCACACGGAACAAAAATTCTTTTCAGCTGACAAAATAAAGCCACAACCAAAGAAAACGTGAGATTAACAGCACTGGCACAAAAGGCATGAATTAACAGCTAAAAACCGTCGATACATTACAACCCAAACCTTGAAACCATTGTCTAAAGTTCAAAACTTATCTTTGAACTTGCAAAATACCATTAAGCCAACAAAACTAAAGTTTTCCATAGTAAAATGTTGGCACTAACGTTAGATAATTAAACGACAGAAAACCAAACCTTGGAAACATTCGGTCTTCCTGGATGCAGGACATTGATAACCTGCACCGAAACAAAGGAAAATTAATGAAAAGGGCTTGAAAACTTTGAGTTTTAACGATAATGACAAAATAAATGGTAAAATGAATAATATTATGATTGACATTTTAGTGTAAAAATATAGTTTTTCGTTAAAGAGAATAAATTCCCCGAAACAAAGGATTTACAAACTCCAAGTTAAAAAGTAGAAGATATACATTTCTGGGTAAGCATTTTTACAGTTTAAGATCCCACATCGGAAGCACAGTTCAATTTACGATATGGGATTGTTGGGTTAAATTCTTTCTTGTTTTTTCCTACGTTTTTGTAGTTGACCAAACAGGAGGATAGTAGTAGGTAGAAGACTCACGAATTGTTTCCTGGAGAGGAGACGGTTGGTCATGAACTTCCTCGTCCGGATCGTCACCGCCTTGCTATCCGCCATTGCTGTCTTTCTCTACCTGTGTTTCAATGTCTGCGCCCCCGTGCCTCTTCTTTCCTTCCGTGCGTGCGTGTGCGCGAGCTTTTCCGGGAAAGAAGACAAGAGTTTTAGATGCTACAACTGAAAATATGTTTGGCCGCTCTCGGAATATTTCTCAACCCAAGCCCACCAACTTCTTTTTTTTTTCTCAAATTAAAAACACCAATTAAAATTTCAAATAATGTTTGTGGCTGTAAATATTTTTATTAGTATAAAAAAAATTATAAATATTTATTGTAATTTTTTCTTTATTTTTGTTAAGAAAATAATTTCCGCACTTTCTTTTTCTAAAAACAAAGGTCAAGTGCTTAAAAAAAAAAAGATGCCTCTGTTCAAAAATCATTTCTCATTCTTTTGTAACATTTAAGTTTTAGCATTGCCATTGTTTTCCAGAGACATTGGCAAATCAATTTTTTATTTTATTTTTATCAACGTGACGAGAAATTTGAATTTGAAACCTCTTTCCCTCTCTGGGAGAGAAGTTTCACTAAAAAAAATAGTTAGTTGGTAGGGATCGGATCATTGATAGAACAAAATACAGTCGGACAAAGCCGAGCAAAGGTGGTGAATTAAATTGAAAACGTGGCACGATACAATGAAGCTGGTCAAGTTGAAGATAGCAACTAGCAAGGCAACACGAAATAGGATAATAGTATTATCAACGGATGCATCATGTATGTATATAATAGGATAGTATTCATGTACATGAAGATAAAATTATCCTCTTAATTGATAATTAATTAATTAGATGGCAATGCAGGTGGTGTAGGGTGCGACTGCGAGTCAACCAGGATGGACCAGAGAACATGCACATCTTCGCATGGACAGGACCTCACATCCTTGTACAGTATATATATCCCTTTTCCTGCAAGTTTGTAAATTAACAAGAACAAAACAAAACAGAACCAAAAAAGTATGAAGATCGTATGGATGTTAACTGAGAGCTAGAGAAAAGATAGAATTAGATGGCGAAAGGAGAAACGAGGAATTGCGTACGCTTTCTGTGGCTCGAGTGCAGACGATCCCAGAGCTTCTTCAACGGGGAGACGAGGGAGCGAAGCCACCCCATTGAAAGGAAGGAATGAATGGGGAAGGAGGTGGAAGGAGTTTTTAGAGTTTAAATGGCGGGTTTGTTTGTCAATCATGCTACAAAGGTATATCACTCTTGTTGACGAGTCTTTGTCACATCCTTTTTCTTCCCCCCTACCAAATTAAGGAGCAAACCCCTTCTCATTTCTCAATCCCAACCATTCTTTTTCTTCCTTTTACACTTGAAAACTCATTTTCCTTCCAACTGACATAATTGTATTCGTATTGCTTGCGCCTCAAGCCTCTCTATCTCGTGCAGTTAATCGCTTTTTTCATGCTCATTTTTGGGTGCTCGTGTTTTCCTCGTGTCAAATACGGCGTTCGAGTTTCTGAATTTAGCGATGAGGTGTAGTAGTCATAGTAGTTAGAGATAATGTAGTAAGGATACAAGCAAGATATTGGATTAGTCGTCCCCTTCAACTTGAAGGAACCTGCCTTCCATATTACATTTACAAAGTGGTTGCCTTTTTGACCCATGAACGTTGTATGAAAATGCTCGATTAATTCGGATAAAACGGTAATTCAGACTGAATAATTCCATAAGCAAAGTATCGATCACGTACGAAGACAATTAATCTAATATGATTGGATGACATTACCAATTTACTCACACATGTGGTTAATTTGTCTACGTTATGGGCTCCATCTTCACCCAAAGGAAAAGCAACTTCAGAAAGGCTTCTTCTTCTCTTCTCCTATACACTTTACAGATCGTACAATAACATCACTTTATAGATCGTTTCTTTTTCGCTGCAAAATGCGGTGATCATCATCAAATCAAAGGGTTTCGGATACATTATTATCTGCGTGCGTGCGTATGTAAAACAAGTCATCTGTAGGAAAAGTTTTTTCTTTTTCACACATGAATCTAGCTAATACATACTAGAAAGGAACTGCTTCAGCTCCTGGAAAACAAAGATTATGGGAAAGTAATTTTACTTTTTACGTAGGCTGACCCGATTGCTTACTCTAATCCAAAGCCCTCCCTCTTGATTATTAATTACACTGCAACGTCAAGGCCCGAGCAGCTAGTCTACCCCCAAGTCCTTTCCTCTATTCGTTTTGCGATGGAACTGAGACTGCCTCCTCTTATTTCCTGCATATCAGTGCAGTTAGAAAATGAAATCTACAGTTTCATCGTGTGTAAGAGAAAATACTATGAACCTTAAGAAGATGCACGGAAGATGGACATACCAAGGAAGCTTAAACGTGTCTTTCCACCATCCCTGCTTTGAGCAATTCGCAACTATCCTGTCCAAGCGTACAATAATCTCAGAGAAAATGGGTCTCATAACAGGTTCTGGATCCCAGCATTCCTCAATCAACCTGCACGCATATTATTGTAGCATCATCATTTAAGCTTTACAATTCCCCTTTCAGATACGATGAGAAAAAGTTATTGCATATTAATCAGTAGACCATTTGGTGACTTGTATTGAAATCAAACTTACTCTTTCAGTACAGGGGGATAACTTTTTGATTTGGTCCTCAACTGCGGTCTTTTTCCTTCCAAACACATCAGCTTCACAGATTCTTCAATAGGCTTGGGATGGAATGGTTGTATTCCCTCAATCATCTATGAGAAAACACATCCACGTAAGGAACAAGTTAACGCTTTATTTCAATGTAATAAACAACAATGTAATGTTTTCCGCAAAAGATAAAAAGAAAAAACCATACAAAAAAATCCCCCAAATCAGCGGTGTTTTAAAATAAGAATCAAAAGTCAAATGTCTGCAAGAGTGCCATATTCACAGCACAGTGTTTATGTATAGCGTGTGTGCTTGAGAATGCAAAGTACTGACAAGAAAGGAAACATATTCTAGAAACTCAGGCAAGTAGAGCTAATTTAGAAGTGCTGAACTGACAATGAATCAAATTTTATAACACAATGAAGATAGTAAAAAGGTACCTCATATAATATAAGACCGAAAGAGTATGCATCCACACTTCTGTCGAAAATTTCATCTTTGTAGATCTCAGGTGCCACATATAAATCTAGAATGAAAGAGGAAAAATTATAATTCAAATCCTGGTGATGTACATGTGGTCCAAGAAAGTTAAGCAACAATCAGAATTCAAAATTTTAATTATGAATATTTCTCTACTCTTAAAATACGAATAATATTATCATAGAGTGCACATCGTGAGAGATGAATTCAAGGCAAGAAAGTTATTCAGTTGTACAAGAACTTACTTGAAAGGTCAGTGTCAGCCCAAGGCTGTGCTAGTTTTGCTTTGTTAGGTGAGATTTTTGACAACCGTATCAAGCCAAATCCAGCTACTTTCAGTTGACCTCCATTATCGAGCAAAATATTTCTGGCACCTTACCCAAATTTCAAATATTAAATAACCATTCATTCCAACCAGAGAACCATCAAAATTCAATAGGCAATAATTACACATATATGTATCAACTTATTTATTCGGTTGTCTTACTTTGGCTTTAAATCACAGTGGATTATTGGGTCTGGTTTACATTCATGAAGATAATTCATGCCCCTGGTAACAAGAATAAGGAAAGAAAAATGTCATAAATGTGAACTGGCTGAACCTAGCTACAGACGTCAGAAGGAAGAACTTGCTTGAGGTACTCATAGATATGAATCATATGATGCAATTTATGTGCTTGTCATATGAACATAAACTTATTGTGTGTGTGTGTGTGTGTGTGTGTATGATGATTTCTATTTAAATGGGAAGATTTAAAAGAATAATTGGCAGAAAAAGAAACACATGCCTTGCAATGTCAAGAGCAAATCTTAGGGCTTTTGATGGAGATAAGCGCCCTTTCTTTTGAAGATAGCTTCCCAAGTCACCCTAAAATATCACCATCAAAGCATGCCAAGTCATGGTTAAGATATTTAAGTGTATAATGAGTGGACAAGCACACATACAATTTATATGCAGAGAGGGAGAGAAGATTACTTTTGAATGATACTCTGACACAATCATCATCGGTATATTTTGGGTGACAGCACCAACAAATTGAACGACATTAGGATGCCGAACCTTCTCTAACAACTCCAGCTCATGTTTGAAGGCATTACTGTTGGATTTAAGGAAATATGAAGAAAGAATGCATCATAAAACAGTCATAGAAGTCTATAACATAAAATTGTGCCATCCCACACTGAACTAATGGATCTGCAATTAACTAAGGAGCAATCAAACAATAACAAGATTATATAAATTGTATTACATTAGAATTAAGTGGTAGTACGATGTCACCTAAACAGGTTTCAGGGAATGAGAGTACATACATGCTTTCAGGGTCCGTGTAGCAATCCTTGTCAAGTATCTTTACAGACACCTTTGTACCATTCCATTTAGCCACTTGATACGATCCCTATTGAGAAAAAGGGAGAAACATATCAGTAATCTATCTAAATAACAAAGCACAAGTTACTTGTGTTGCCCATTTGCAGCATTATGCATGTCCTGAAGGGACTCAGACTTTCAATTTTCCCGAGTACAAAGAAACTGCGTTCAATTCACCGAAGACTTTAGACACGACACATCATAACTACTACTACTAGTAGTAGACTGGAGTGTACATGAACATTGAAAAGTAGAGCAGAAATCTATAAATGGTGGAGAAAAGGGGAAAAGGGACAACCTTTGTGATACCATCGCTCTTTCGAACTTGAAGCTCTAACGGATTGAGCTCATACTCTGGAACTTCTCGAGGATTCGCAACAGTCATTGGTGTCTTCCTGGTTTTCTAGAAAATAAAACAAAGAGAATGCAACAAAGGCATGAATCTCCACCTGTAGACAGGCTAAAATTTTCAATCAGAGAGAAAGAAGGAAGTTGATCGGAGTATAGACCTACCGGAACTTTGGCTCCACGTGCCTTCAGAATGTTGTAAACTTCCGTGTTCCCGTAATACTTGGCATCTGCAGCTGCCTGTCCACATTCAACACATTTGAAATATGCAATCTCCCCCGTTATAATATCACAAACAATACGAAATTGTAAGCATATGTTTTTTTTGTTAATTATATTTACACTCATAATATTCTAACTAAAATTTGATTAATTTAAGCAAACACATTAACACAGAGAGAATTAATCGAAAGGATAATTATATTGATTCATGATCATAAGATAGATAAGAAAGAGCGTAGCAAGGAAGGAGTACCGTGCTGCCCCAGCGATCACGAGCATCGATATTGGCCTTGCGGGAGAGCAACAGCCTAACGACCTCGACGTGGCCCTCGCAGGCAGAGATATGGAGCGCCGTACGGCCGTCCAAATCGATGCTGTTGACGTCGATGCCTTGATTGAGGACGTCCTCGACGCCGTGGACGTCGCCGCGGCAGGCGAGGAAGAGGAGGTTCATGGTGGAGTCGAGATTCTCGGGGACGGAGAGATCGACTTCGTCGTCATCGTCGTGGGAAGGGCTGCGGCGGATGGGGTCGAGGGAGGACTGCCTGCCGAAGCTGAAGCGCAAGTTGTTCCTCTTGGGGTCGAGCGAGGATTGGCGGGTGAACTGGCGGCTGAGAGTCCGCTTCAGCGACCCCGTGGAGAACTGCCGCGATATCCCCCGCTTCAGCTGCGCCGCGATGTTCTCCATTTTAATTAATCTAATTTAATTTAATCACTGTGTCTGTCTCTCCCTGAACTTTTCGATCAACTTTTACTGCAGATATATATATGGTGGTGGCGGTGGTGGTGTTTCAGAATTTGCAAACTGCAACTGCAATCTTTGTGATAATTCAAGTGCAGCAATTGCAATTGCAATTCAATGGAAGAAGTATGCGCATGCAGCAGCAGCTGTTATACAACTACAGATACAAGATCATCTTTGTCATCTTCTTCTTCTTCTTGGTTTTGCTGGGGATGAACTTGTTCCCGCCGGTAATGCTGGTGGCGGTGGTGGATCGGGATCGAGAGCTTGAATGTGGGGCCCTGAGAGAGGGGGTTAAGCTCTCGATTCCGATCGACGAGGTGAGAGGAAGAGAAAATGAGGTCTGGAATGAGAGAGCGAGAGATGAGGAGAGATCCGAGTGGGGCGCCGCGCATTCAACGAGAGAGAGATGGAGGGGGGATGCTTTTATTTTTTGCCTCCTGTTTCCGCACACCGCCGCGGAAAAGCCGCTTTGGATAGTTCTTTTCCTTTCCCTTCCTTTCCTTTAGTTAACGGTTTTTATAACAAATAGTTCTGAAAGTGGCCAAAATTGAATGTCTTTTGATCGTTTATTCCAGAATCTATCAATATAGTCTCTGAAATTTAACGTCGCACATTAATCTGATCCTACCATTTCGCTTTTGTGAAAAATTCAGTTTTATTACTCGCGTGACAAGTAAAACAGAAATTCTTTTATAAAAATTTGTGTGAATGACGAAATTAACATGCAATAGCAAATTGAGTGACCATGTTAAGTGATTTTGAAATTAAAAAACCAAAACAATTTGCGATTAAAACCTTTGAGTAATGGACAGCTCAATTTTCTTGTTGGACGTATAAAACGCGGCAACGCTACAGTTTGCTTCAGGTTCTGTTATTATTTGCGTCATTATTCAAGAGCAATTACCTGTAATTTTGTCAAAGAAAATCGTTACTTTTTATTCATTTTGTTTCCCTTGTAGCTGAATTTCGTTTGATTTGGTAAGAATGACATGGATTAAGCCTAAAAGAGGAATTAGCTGCCTCTGCCACTCTGCCTCTCTGTAACAGCGTGTGGTCCTTTTTGTCCCCGCCCAGCACTAAAAACTAAATAGGGTAAAATTGGAAAAAAAACAGATGATTTTCTGATTAGTTTTATGCCTTTTGTCTGCTCACGTGAGAACGACTTTTATGCCACAAATACACGGTCGATGTGTAATTTTTTTTTTTTTGCATGACGTTTGTATCATTTTTTTGAGAGATGACGACGTGTCACGTAAATTAGTGCACATACGTCTATTTTACGTTTAATTCGCCTCCCCGTCCTTTGAATTTAATTATTTAGCAAAAAAGAATGTGGCTATGTCTACATGAAAGGAATTTTTGCATGAACGTTTGTATCACTTTTTTTTAAAGACGATGACGTGTCACGTAAATTAGTGTACATACGTCTATTTTACGTTTAATTCGCCTCCCCGTCTTTTGAATATAATTATTTAGCAAAAAAGAATGTGGCTATGTCCACATGAAAGGGACTTTGATTTGAAGTAAGATGTTGACATATTTGTTTTTGTTTGTTAAAGTTTGTACTGGAATGAATGCGATTAGTGGCTGAGTGCACTTGTAAGTCATCAGTGGATCTGGCCGACTCGGTCAACCCAGAGTATGGAACACACAAGTTGAATCATTAAAGTATCTTATCATCGTCTCACACAGTGAGTGCCCGTGATCAAAGAGATACAAGACAATTCTAGTGCACGGGATAAAAAAGAAAACTAATATATGATATATCTCCCATTCAACGTGATGAAAGAGATACAAGTCAATTGGCAAACCTTCACACGTTAAGGTCTGGTTTGATATGGAGATAATTCTAAAAAAGCTGTGAGCTTTTTGTGTTTGGTAAACATTCAACTTCAGTTTTTTTTCATAGTTTTGAGTGAAAAAAAACCAAAAACAAGAAGCTGCAAAACCCAGCTTTGAAAAACCGGCTTTTTTTTCACATCCGTTTTACATAAAAGTTTACCAAACACTATAATACTGCTTTTTTTTTTTCAAAAGCATTTTTACAAAAAAGTTTACCAAACACTCTACAACTTTATTTCACAGCCAGTTATTCTTACAGCACAGCATAAACAGTTTTTTTTTTAAAGCAGAGCAATACCAAACCATCCCTAAGAGAGATCAATTCCCCCCATCCAAAATGTTATTCTATGCCATTCTCCAATACTCCCAATTCTCACCAAACAAAGGCAATTGGCAAACCCTCACACTCCCTCCCTCTCTTCCTTTATCTGGGATTGAGACCGACAACGTAAGACAAACTTACACATGCAAAGTTATTTATCCAATTCAATAACCACCTCTGGAGAGCAACAAACTTTTAACCATATTTTAGGACTAAGCATAAAGGTAAGCACTATGTACATGGGATGCCCACTATGCCACCACTTCATCCCAACAAGAGCACCCATCCTAACAAAACAAGGATTAAGGAAGATCATGTCATTCAAACCTTGTTTGATCGGGCAAGATCAATCCAATTTCTCTATGTTACATGAGAGGCCCTCAAACAAGGTAAACTTTTGCCATGGGTGATGAAATATGGTGAATTTTCATTCTAACTCATCAAGTGTGTGTTTCTCATCACAGGAGTGCGGGCACTACAAACCTATCACCTATCAAACAATTCAAAAGAGGCCAACGATTTCTATGACATCACATATCTTGATGCATTCAAGCTTATTATTGCTTAAAGCAAGCAGCGATAAGCCTATATCAGAAACAATCAAATTAAACATATTTGATATTTGCAAGCACCAACACGAGGGAAGAAACTAAGAATGTAAATGTCTATCATCAAGTCAACTCAGTACCTTGGTGATCATGCAACTTGAAATTGATTCAGCGAATTAACATCAAACACACTCAATACCAAATAGTTAAGGATTCATTTATCCAAAAGATAGTCACAGCTAAGACAACTAAGCTACTTACACAACTTAATCCAAAAACCAACACTTTCAGAAAAATGGCAAGGGAATAAGGTATGCAAACCTTGAATGTTTTCTGATGAGTTAAACATCTAAGTGGACTTTTATTGCCATCTGAACTCATCGCAAAGCTAAATTCCACACTAGTGTCAACATAAAGAAGTGAATGATAAAGCATTACTTTCTACGCTTGTTGGGACCGGTCTTGTAACCACCCTTGGTAGGCTTTCCCCAAGGTGTTCGAGAACCCTTCCCATGAGACCCACTACTCTTGCTCTTACCCTCACCTCCACCATGAGGATGATCAACTGGATTCATTGCCACTCCTCGAACAGTTGGTCTGATGCCTCGCCACCGGTTTTGCCCAGCCTTATATAATTTCTTGGGCTTATTTCCATCACTTGGGACTGTACCAATTGTAGCCCGGCATTTAGAATCAATCCACTTTTCAACACCTGAAGGCAGTCTCACTAAACACCTTGAAACAGTGGGTTCTTTCAAAATCTTTGCAAAAGTGCCTGGTGCTCGAACTAACTTGCCACCTTGGCCCGGGTTCATCTCGATGCTGTGTATTTTTGCTTGAATGTGCATATCAGCAAGCGGCATGCACCTTCCGTATTGTGAATTGATATCATAGTGAAACAACTGATTACTTGAACCAGCTACATCTGCGGAAAGTATAACACTACTGGTAAAATTCATTTTGGCAGCAACTAGATCAATGAACATAAAAAGAAAGGTTTTTCCTAAAAATTATATGGGTGCAACCTTACAAAGGTAGTTTACACTGCAGAAGAAAGAGATGACACCAAAGAGGAGGAAATGAAATAACACAATATCAACATAGAGAAGACGATTCTTCATTTACGGATACAATGGTTTATTGATCATCGTTTTGCTTAATACAAACAGAACATCTGTAGGAAAGGAAATAGCACAATATCAACATAGATACGATGATTGTTCATTTACGGATACAACAGTTATTTATTGATCATTGTTTTGTTTAAGAGAAACAGAACATCTGTATTATCTTATCAAATAGAAACATCCCACATTCCTAGAACTATGGCACAAACATCCCTTGAAATACAGCAGTTCATTCATCAAACTCTAGGCGCCTACTACCTACCGGCTCTGCCATAACTTTCTGGTTAATCCTATGGCATTGACCTTATAGTTGCCGGGGTATTTTTCCTAATTTTTTAAACTAACAAGCATTCATATAGAAATTATGCAGACGATAACTTCACTCAAGAATTCACTTCAAATTTGCGTAACCAGTAACTGAGTGAAATCCTAGTTTTTCTTACCCCTTCATTTCTCAGAAACCAAACAGCAATTTGCCTCAAACATCCTACCCAATGAGCTTAACATGCAAGCTTAAACATTTTTAACAGCTCCGATCAGCTAATTTAAATCGATCTCAAATGAGGAAATGGCATGAAATGAAATACCGGTGGAGAGAGTGCGAGTGGAGGCGCGGGTGGGGACGTTGATGACGTTGGAGTGGCGTAGGAGCCTATTCAACAGGGAAGACGAAGCAGCTCCAGCTCTCCACACCGCCATACGATCCACTTCTACCCTTCTAGGTTTCCCTCCTCCTCTCTTCTTTGTTCGCGCTGCCGCCGCAATTCATTCGGTGCTGTGCGTTTGGCTCCTGTCATTCCTTATACTGCCTTTAAACTGAAACGACCCCGTTTTGTGTAGCTTAATTATGAAGGGGTTTTCGCTGTGATTCACTCGTTAATTTTGTGAGCCACGGTCAATTACTTCAGCTAATTCCTTTTAGGATAATACTTGCATCCCAAATGACGGGATGCACATATTTCTTCATTTGTGAATACCATATATTGAGCATATAAACACAACAATTGGAACCATTTAATTTTTTTTTAATCATCATTTAAAGATTACTCTTACAAAAAAATCATTCAAATCGAAAATCGTTTAATTATCCAAACATATAAAAAAATTAATGAACATCATGGATAGGTCACTTGGCACCTACAACATTAATTTGTACTATACATTTCAATTACTAAACGTTCATCCCTCGTTGGGTGATTAAACAATTTCGCCACTAAAAAGAAAAAAAAAATGAGAAAAACACTTCGTCGGAGATCCCACCACCCACCACCATGTAAAATGTAGTTTCTTTTGTGGTCGTTCTTTTGCTCCAACGACAAGAGTGTTTATGGTTGTGGTTGTGGTTGCTCTCTTGCCTTATTAATGAGAGACCTTTGTAGCATCTATGACTTAATGCTCAAACTTGAATCTTTGAGTTGTAGCTGTTGTTCATTGTTGAGGTGGTGGTTCTTGTACTGTTTGTTGTTTTGTGTCGGTAGCTAAGAACTATAAGAGGAAGCTCAGGGTATATTGGAAGTGACTCATAGTAATGATTCTTTATTGATGATTGCAAGATTAACAGAGTGCTGCCGTTTTATTCCTATGATGTTGATATAATATAGTATAAAAACTTAATATGTTTAGTCCTTGTATTCTCGATGAATTTATAATGGAGAAAAATTGGTGTTTTTTTAATTACACTTGACATGTCTTATTAGTTGAAAATCATAATATGCATATGAATATATAGAGAATAATAAACACGAATAAATCGAAGAATGAACTAACTACAAACAATTATAATTATAACAGAGATTTCTAACCAGTAGTTATAGAGGACTAATCATATGATTCATATCACATGCAAAAAAAAAAAAAATCTAAATTTAATGGACTAGGCCCAAATTCTGACTTAAACCCTAATTTTTTAATTTTATTTTAAAAAATACTCATTCTCCCGATCGGACCACGTCATTCCCCAGTCAGGCCAAGAATTTGAGTGGGACCGGATTTGGGTTCAGATTCAAATTATAAGAATCTTAATTATCTTCATATTTTAATTGTTTATCGTAAATTGTATGATTATAAATTATTTTAAAATTTTATTTAAAATTAAACATATATAGTACTTAACGAAAATTGATCACAATATACATTCAATTGCTATCCTCACAAAGAGAACAAGATCCTCTTCGGATCCTTCTATCAGATCCTCCGGATGCATTAATCCCGTCCGTTCAACCGCAAATCAGACGGGATAAAAGGGATTCGGGGGGGATCCAATCCCCTCACAGAGAGCTCGGATCCTCATCCAGTGGGACCAACGAAGATACTGAAAAAGCTGACATGACCAATCCCAAGGGTGTTATCATCAATCGATTAATGCTCTGCTTGAATAGCGTCGTGTTCCCATTCGTAATTGGCAAGTCTTAAGTTACACTAGCAGCCTCTCTCTCTCTCTTCCACTCCAATGGCGACCATTTCTTCAGCTTCAGTTCGCACTCCGAACTTCTCTTGGTCCTTCTCCTCGGAGCACCTCCAATCCCTCGGGTTCTCCGAAACTCTATTGTTTCCTCTGACGAGTTCAGCTTCGAGATCAATAATCCATAGCCATGACCGCCACAAGCAACTCGCAGTCTCCGCTAGAAGCTTCGACCAGAATATCGCCGACAGCGCCTTCTCTTCCAACGGCTCTCCTCCTTCGACCACCCGCTCCAAGTATGCACGCGTTATGTATAGATGTAAATTTGTGTGTTTCGTTAAAAAGATTAATCAATTTAATTAGCGATTATTGATTGATAAATCAGGGTAAGAAGGCACACGATTTCGGTGTTCGTTGGGGACGAAAGTGGAATGATAAATCGGATAGCAGGGGTGTTTGCTAGGAGGGGATACAACATCGAGTCCCTGGCTGTTGGTCTGAACAAGGACAAAGCTCTCTTCACCATCGTCGTCTCCGGAACCGAAACGGTCTTACGCCTCGTGATCGAGCAGCTTAACAAGCTCGTCAATGTTATGAAGGTTTAGCTTCTAATCTAATACAAATTTCTGATTAATTAATGTATTAAAATGTTAATTACTCTAGGTAAAGTGTGACCTGCAGCATTATTTGAGCTAATATTTAGGATTTTTATGAACTCCTGGTCACTTGTGCTGCATTATGTGTTAAAGTATTGAATACATTTGTAAATTATTTTGTTTACTGATTTTTCAGTTTGTTTGTTTGCTTGCTTGTTTGTTTGTTTATTATAACGTGGCGGGTAGGTTGAAGATCTCTCAATTGAGCCTCAGGTGGAGCGTGAACTAATGCTTATAAAAGTAAATGCCGATCCTAGCTATCATGCCGAGGTAGTTATAGAATCATCCCTGGTATTAGACATAGCTAGAATTGCTCAAGGTTTTGAAATGTGTTTGTTTACGATTTTCTGTTTTTGTTTATATTTACCAGATCAAGTGGTTAGTGAATATCTTTAGAGCAAAGATTGTGGATATCTCGGAACACTCAGTAACCATTGAGGTAATGATTGGTACACGATCAGTGCAGATGTCATGCAGGCCTTTTGTTGAGACCAAGTGAATATTCATACTTCCTCCATTATTTATAAGACCGAGCATCTGTACATTGATGTAAAGTTTGACTTTTACTCAAGTCCCAAAACCAATTTACTTTTTTTTATATTATTATTTTTATGATATAGGTGACAGGAGATCCTGGGAAGATGGTTGCTCTGCAAAGAAATTTAAGCAAGTTTGGGATCAGAGAAATTGCCAGAACCGGAAAGGTGCCAATTTGATAGAATCATTGAAATTCTCTTTTCTTCTTCACCTAGGATCTCATTCAGCAGTTTTTAGTGATGTGTCATGCATCAATATATTTTGTTGTTCTTGCCTGTAGATTGCCTTGAGGAGGGAAAAGTTGGGTGCATCCGCTCCATTTTGGCGATATTCAGCAGCTTCATATCCTGACCTTGAGAGAACAGTTCCTGTTGATGCTCTTGTGGGGGTTGAAAACGGACTAGTTAATGCTGTATCTGATGTGTCTTCTGGGGTATTTTCTTCCTCAGCTTTGGTTTGATTAGTCCTCACCAAATGCATCTGCTGTACTCTGTTTTTTTGTCTCCCATGCTTCTTACAATTTGATGAGATTACGTATGAGGTTGACCCTTTTTTCTGGAGAAAATGGGAATTATTATGCGCTTTTTGATTACTTGATTCGATATTATTTATTTGTTCCGATATACATATAATTCCATTCTAATCATAAGGCCTTTCATAATACAAGAGTCATTATGAAACTTTTGATGTAGCTATATTATCTGTTCATTAGCTGTTGCTAAATTTAAATCTCATGAAAAATAACAGTCATTGAATGCAATCTTTCCCTTCTTTTTAATCTTGAAACAGTGATTCTATTATTTTTGTATGTAACTGCAAATCATCATTGACTTTTCAATTAATACATATACATTTGTTCACGAAGGGTGATGTTTATCCTGTGGAGCCGTCTGATACCTTTACTGTCAATCAAGTTCTTGATGCTCACTGGGGTGTTCTCGATGACGAAGATGTAAGTAAATCATATGATCGCTAAATGGTAAATTTTTCAATTTTGTATCTCTTTCAATGGGGTGCAACTCATACCCTATCACAATCACTGAGTTTTTTTTGAGAAAACATCAAAACACTCAGTTTCTATCTCTTTCAGTTTCTATCTCATTCAAAACCCTACTGAGTTTTGTTGACTATTTTTCTTTGAGCTACGCATTTCAGACTAATGGACTTCGATCACACACTTTATCCATGCTCGTGAATGACATTCCTGGGGTTCTCTACATTATTACTGGCGTTTTTGCCCGAAGGGGTTATAACATTCAGGTATATTTTCTCTGCGGTTATTCCCTCCTCTCTGTCTTCTACTCAGGCAGAAAATTTTAGGCTTCTTTTTAAATGGGCTGATTTATTGCTACCAGAGCTTAGCTGTTGGCCGTGCAGAAGCTGAGGGGCTATCTCGCATTACTACTGTTGTTCCTGGTACAGATGAATCCATTAGCAAGTTGGTGCAGCAGCTTTATAAGCTTGTCGATGTTCATGATGTAAGAATGTTAACTATTCCAAAGAAGGCATTTTTCTCGACAAGTTAAAGAAAATATGTTGGTTCTCATCTGTTGTGATTAATGCAACGAATAAATTTAATGCCATCTGGTTAATGCGATTATAGTCTATGCATGATTTGTCTGTACTGCAACACATATTCTGAGTCTTGAATTCACATTTTTGACTAAATTGCCTGATTATAGTCACCCCTTCTTTCACAATCATTGTTATTTATAAATGCTGGTTGAATAGCCCGGGAGCATGAAAAATCATCAGTCTGTTGTTGTCTCCACAACTAAGTCACTCTCAGATATGATGGAGGGAAAGAAAGAGAATAAGATTTAATTGGGAGGAGATGGTCCAAACCCAGAAGTCCAGCACTGAGATGGCTCATCGCCTTGGCTTCATAACTTCTTTGCACCCTTTACTTCTGTCAGAATAGTTTTGGACCTTTTTTCCCCATAATTTCAGTATCCGTAACACTAATAGTCTTTCTTATGTTTAAGTTAAGAATGGTGGCCTTGATGTGAATAACAAAATTTATAACTTTTGACTTGTTCAGGTTCAAGATCTTACCAATTTGCCATTTGCCGAGCGGGAATTGATGTTGATAAAAATTGCTGCGAATGCTGCTGCTCGAAGAGATGTGCTTGATATTGGCAACATTTTTAGGGCCAAGGCTGTTGACGTTTCTGATCACACAATAACCCTTGAGGTGAATATTCCCTTTTCATATATTATATATATATATATATATATATATATATATATATATATATATATATATATATATATATATATATATATAGGTAAAAACCTCAGTTGCTATGACCCGACGTGAATAGACACACTATAAATTACCTCAAGATGATGTATGTGGGTGATGATGGATGCTAAGGGGCGATTTTATGTTGTTGGAGGACAGATCTCGCTGTTGGTAACTTGGCACTGATCAAATTACTTGATTTGCTTTTGTCCAGCTAACAGGAGACCTGGACAAGATGGTTGCATTGCAGAGGTTGTTAGAGCCCTATGGAATTTGTGAGGTTTGTCCTGCAATCTTTAGTCAAGTCTTGAAAATTTTGATAAGGGCAGCTTGCATCATGAGTCTTGGCTTAGTTCTGTGGACGCGGCATAATTTGTCTTGGCTATAGTTTATGAGCTGACTCCTTAAGCAATCACAAACTTATTTTCCCTATAGATTTTTTGGGTGTCATTATTGCTTCAAGATATCAACAATTCTTTATGGATTTGGCAGGTGGCGCGTACTGGAAGAATTGCACTGGTGCGTGAGTCGGGTGTGGATTCGAAATACCTCCGTGGATATTCTTTTCCTCTGTAGTTGGCACTGGCTGGTTGAAAATGATTTGGGAAACTTGAATGAGAGCACTTGTAAATGTGTGCAAGGTGCGCAATCTTGTACGTACATATGAGTCGATGGCAGACTCCAAGTTGAAGGGCGCATTCAGACTGACTAGTACAACTTCAACTTCTGTGCTTACACTTTTTATTGCAGATCACCTTCCGCTTGGGTATTTGTTTGTGTTTTTTTTCAATCCATGGAACTTATTTATTTTCATTAGTAGAAGATAAAATCTGTGTTTGCTGAAACAGAACAATGCAAGTGTTCGGAACATCACACTAGTATAGCTGATCTGTAATGCGTGTCTTTCTGTACTCAAATTTTGATCATATATACTGGAAGTTGGAAAGTTTGTATTGCTTATCCTCTTTTCTCTTTGTTTGCTCGTTTTTGCCCACACCAACTTCTCCTTTCTCTTTTCTTTTCTTTTATTTTCTTTTGAATTCAGAGATGGAGCAGAACAATGTAGTGTTTAAAGGGAGTATATTAAGCATTAGATGTCATATAATTTTGTTATTATGTGATTCCGGGATTTTCTATTATGCTCCGGGGTATCTTGCACTCCAATGTTTTTGGCCGTTAGACCAAAACCTCCGAACTATTTGGTAACGAACGAGTATTTGGTCGTATAGTCTATATAATTGAATGATAAAAGGTTGTGTAAGATTATATATTGGTAGAGTACTACATTTATGAATATTTTGATTGAGTAGAAAGGAATGAATGATAATAGTCACTCCTTGGAAACTAAGACAAGTTGCTTTCCGATATTGCGGCCGGAGAAGAGGCCGACGAGGGCTTTAGGAGCGTTGTCAAGGCCTTCAGCAATGTCTTCCACATAAGTCAATTTACCTTGTTTGATGTAGGATATGACCAGGTCTAGGAACTTCGGATAAAGGTGAAAGTGATCCGCCACTATGAACCCTTCCATGCGCACCCGATTCCCGATCATGTACATCAAATTCTGTACACCTGCAGTCTGGCTACCGTCGAACTGTGAGATCATTCCACAAGCTGCGATCCGCCCTTTGAATCTCATGTTTAGTAGCACTGCATCCAGCATCTTTCCCCCAACACTCTCAAAGTATATGTCAATGCCTTCCGGAAAGTACCTGCATCATACACCCACATCTCGTCGTATACTTTTCTTTGAATGAATATTTGGGGATGGGGAAATCAAACTCATGACGTCGGGTGCAGGGGTGAATGCTCTTGAAGTTGATCTCAGTTACTATACCAACCTTTTCAGAGCTGCAACCAAGTCGGTCTCTTCCTTATAGTTGAAAGCTTCGTCGAATCCAAACTTGTTCTTTAGCAGATCGACCTTATATAGTGTAAATAATATTGTAAGGAGATCTCTTCAAAGCTAATGAAAATGAGAAGTGGTTTTGATTGAGGCTCGCAATTAGCATATGCAGTTAATTTTAAGTTACCTTTTTTTTGCTTCCAGCAGTTCCAACAACATAGCAACCCGACAATTTGGCAAACTGGCCAACAAGCTGGCCAATCGCTCCAGCTGCGGCTGAAACGAAGACTTTCTCCCCCGGCTTAGGTGAACAAACCTCATAGAAACCGGCGTAAGCAGTCATACCATTCATGCCTGCGTAATAAGAAAGTGAAGAGATTCAATCAAGAGGATAAGTATATGTATACGAATATACAGGATCGCTCAAGCGCTAACGAGTTACCAAGAATTCCAGTATAGTAAGAGAGGGGGACATCAGTGTGCTGAATTTTTATCAAAGATTCCGTGGCCGTGATGACACTATATTCTTCCCAGCCGGTAAACCCCCAAACCAAGTCGCCTTTGGCGAATTTGGGATGGCCGGAATCCAAAACCTTAGACACTCCGTATCCGCTTATAGGCTGACCAGGTCTGTACATGTCGAGGGCGTAGGAGGAGGAAGCGTCGAGCTTCTTCATGCGTGCAGCCATGTAAGGGTCGCACGAGAGGTAGAGATTCTTGAGTAGAACGCCGGTGAATCCCCGAGGGAGCTTGAGCTTGATCTTGCTGGTGCTCACGCACATGTTGGAGTCCCTTGGATTCCCGCTCATGAGATGCTCCTGAAGTAACACCTGCTTGTTGCTTACTTCCTCCACGCCCTCCGCTTCGACATCATTCGCCATTGCAGCCTCGTCTCCGTGTTAGTAACTTCTTCTCTGCGTTCAGTTTTGCAAGATTAGAATTAGGAAATCCAGATGCGAAGAATGCAGGGCAAATAGAAGAAGTCCAAGAGAGAAGAAGAGGGGTTTTCGTGAGTGGTAGTGGTGTGGACACACGTGCGATTGTTTGTTCTAGTTCGATGCATGGGCTAGCAATGTCGTCGTGTCCATAAATAAAGGCAAACCTCATGATTCGCCTAAAACGTGTAAATCCTTCTCACCTTTTACTCGTTCAATATTTCTATATATTTTTTTTGTTTGATGTTCAAAATCTTCTGTAACTAAAATCTTACGTGGCCTCTCTCTACTTGAGTAACACGTGATTTGAACTCAAGTACTGGAGTTTTAGACTGCTGTTTTTGTCTGGCTTTTTTACCAAAATTATATATATTGACCCTCTATTCAGCGGCGGATTTAGAAAGATCTCGGAGGATTTCAGTGTTAAAATACAAGTTTTTTTTATATAGAAATGAGCGCGAATTCACTGATGCATTTTAACAAACACTTGGTGGGTTCGTTATCGTAAGTAAAACTGTTTAGTGATTGATAGAATTTGTTAAGTGTTGTCAATGCGACCTGTCAAAATATGCCTAGCAGACGTTATTGATGTAGTAAGTAGACACAAAAGAGACTCGTACTAAACAATGAAGGGTCCTTGGAAGACATTCAGATTGTATATTTTCCAGACTCCAGGTGGTATTGAGACCATCTTGGTTCCAATGTACATCTAAGTCTCCAGGTAAAGCTTTTTCAATTATTGATGCTCTGATTTTTGAAAGAATCTCTTCCCTTGTAATATTGGATGGATTTAGTTAAAAAAAAATGGTTGATTTAACAATCCAGAAATTTTACTTGAGCTTGGAATTAACACGTGATCATGCTAATAAGCTTAATCAGAGAACATTTATTAAGAGAACAAAACAGCTCCCCTCAACACAATTATTTATTAAATAACTAGAACACGCTTTTACAAAAACCACGTCGTACAAGTTGTAATTTACTAGTCACACAGACGCCTACAGGGACTATTGGGCGTCTGTGAGTGATGAAGTCAATCCCTGGAAACTAAAACCACCTGCTTTCCGACATTGCGGCCGGCAAAGAGCCCTATCAGAGCTGCCGGAGCGCTCTCAATGCCTTCAACTACATCTTCCACGTATGTTATCTTCCCTTCTTTTATGAATGGTAGTACAGTTTCAAGAAACTTCCCGTAGAGATGATAGAAACTAGAAGCCACGAAACCTTGCATACGGAGCTGTTTAGAGATCATTGACGTTAAATTATGCACGCCTTCTTTCTGCTCAAGGTTGTACTGCGAGATCATCCCACAAACTGCGATTCGGCCATTCGTCCTCATGTTTAGTAGGACTGCATCGAGCATCTTTCCCCCAACATTTTCAAAGTATATATCGATGCCTTCAGGAAAGTACCTGTTACGTAAATTACACATTCCCAATGTACATGTTTAGCCCAATGTTTAAGCAATATATAGGAAGTGGAAAATCAACGTCACATACTCAAGAACCTTTCATTTTCTAATCTTCTCTCTCTTTCGAAAGATTGGGGATTAGATCTTAAGTTTTGTTATTGATGTTAAAGCCTTTCAGAAAAGGGGTTGTATCGTTGGCACATGAAAAACTCAGTATGGCTTCAGCAGATTAAAATTAGAAACAAAAATGCCCCTTATCACCATTCATAAAGTTCTGATTCTGATCAAAAGTTAAAACATATTACACAGATATATAGGATTGACCTTTTTAAGGCAGCATCCAAGTTAGGTTCTTCTTTATAATTGAAAGCCTCATCAAACCCGAACTTGTTCCTCAGCAGATCAACCTTCACTCGCAGAAAAGGCATACAAATATATATCATTGAAGTGCTTCAATTGACTCCAGCATGTTGAAGAATAAAAGTAAACGCGTTTAACACATTTGATGGCAATGATGATAAAAAAAATTATTGGTCACCAACACCATTTGTACATCAGCACAAGATGTTCTGTTTCATTTTCCAAAATTTGCGAACCACAAAAAATCGTCATACAGACATGCCTTTACAAGAATATTCTGAGTCACAGCTATGAATTGCCAATTAATGTATTAATTCCTAATTTCCTATTGATTACCCAATAGCAATGACTCACCTTTTCTTTGCTTCCAGCACTCCCAACAACATAGCAACCCAACAACTTCGCAAATTGCCCAACTAGCTGACCTACTGCTCCAGATGCGGCAGAAATGAAGACTGTCTCTCCTTTCTTTGGCGTGCAAACCTCATGAAAACCAGCATAAGCAGTTATACCAGGCATACCTACATCAAACAAATAAATTAGATGAGCCTTGAGCATCAAGCAGGACATATCATGCATATAAATTTTAAGGCTTACATATTACCAAAATATGTTTCATGACAGTTTAAATTTGATTAGAATGGATTACTCTATCAATCACATTCTATCAAGAAGAATAGTACACATCAAGGCAGGTAAGTTACTGCATGACTGGTCGTACCCAGTGCACAAGGCTCCCGCTTTACTGCATGACTAATTGGAAAAAAAAAAAGTTTGATGGCAATCAAGTTCCTTACTACACTACTAAAGAGTGTCAGAATTGAGCAAAAGCAATTCATTGTCAATATCATATCGGTCAATGCAGAAAAGATACAACTAGAAATCGAAATGCGGAGATCCTTTCATGAGAGAAGACCATTCATCAAAAATGCAGATTTTGACACTGTCCTTAAACTTCTGATTTTAGAATGAAAATTGGAGTCAAGTCACTCAGCATATAACAATACGTGACATATGCGAACCAATTTATCTACCATTTTCATTCAAGACTTGCGAAATTCACACTCAAGTTTCATTAGTCAAATACAAACATATGAGATTATAAATTTCAGATAGCTAGCTATGTGCCGCAGAAGCAATTTTCCGGAGACATCAACTTCAAAATTTGGTGAAAATAGCACTAGAAACATACCTAGAATTCCAGTATAGTAAGAGAGTGGGACATCGGTATCGTGAATCTTAAACAGGGCCTGTGTGGCAGTGATGAGACTATATTCTTCCCACCCGGTCATCCCCCAAACAAAGTCGCCTTCCTTGAAATTGGGATCCCCCGATTCCAAAACTTTAGCCACTCCGTATCCGGTTATAGGCTGCCAGTCCACAGCATTTCAATATCTTCGATGCGATAATTAC